ACACACACAAACACCCCCAAGGTGGACATATTACATTTTTTTCTCTCTCTCTTATCAGTCCAGGCCTGTGAGGGAAAAAAATAGTTTCTCACCAGGTTGTCATTTGCCCTCCATGGAAAATGGGGTGTTATTGATTAAATATAGTGTAGTGATGTTATCACATTGCTCAGTACATCTCTCATATTTTCAGTTCTGTTTGGTACCCATTGCACATTGTGTAGAAACCTACTTCACTTATTTCTCCAATCGTCTTTGTAGTCTCACCAAGCCCTCGTTCAATATGAATCAAGCTTTTCTCTCTCTCTCTAGTCCCCAAAACGCCAGGAAAAGAAAGTGATCCCAGTTGATTTTTCTTGTCAGTTGTTGAGTAGGCTATAACGTTGTCCCACAATTGAATGAAAAGGGTAAAGTTATACCTACCATTGTGTACATGTACATGCATCTGCACTGTTTTGCAATACAGAGATGTATAAATGGCAAAGCTGGATCTCGTACCAGGAGTTAAGTAGCAAGTGCAAATTGTAGCCTTTTTTGTGTGTTTTCAGGAATGGGTAATTCCAGAAATTAGTTGTCCATTTTTTTCCATGTCCCTGTGTCATCTGACATATTATTGTGTAAGTTCAGAACAGATTTTCTAGTTTACAAGAGTGATGAATTGTGCAAATTACCTGAAATTAATTCCGGTGATATTTCCTTGTCAAATAACAAAGGTCAGATGTAACAGGGACACAAAAATGTCACACTTTTGGACCTTTAATTTCTGCAATTACCCAAATACAAGTTTGATTTTAAACATTTTTGGTTCATTTTTTCTTATTTAGGGTTTTTTGGTTACTTTTGCAGATGGCATGACATGTTTCGATTTTTTGGGGGGGCTTTAATGCTGTATGCAAAGCACTGGGCTGTGCGCATTGTGCTGCAGTTTGCGTCAAACAAAAAATGTCACAAAAACAAGTACACAGTTTTGGTGGTTGACGTTTTATTTCTCAGTAGAATAGAAGGTTTTACATAAGAAAAAATCAAATCTCAGCAAACTGATGATTTTTTTAAATTACTTTTTTTCAAATAACCACTGCGGGGATAAGCAAGTAGGTTTGCTTGTGCACTGTGCTGTGTATGTGTGGGCAAGATTCAGGAACCAAGTTTCATAAGTTCAAAAACTCAATTTTTTAATCCATTCCCATGAGGTTCGAGTTATCAAGAGTTTACTGTATTTGTTATTGCTGGATGCTCCTGAAAGATTTTTAGTGTGGTCATCTCAAAAGGAACATGGCATAAGTCTGTTATTTTTCAAAACAAAAACGTACCGTAAACCTTTACTTCCTGTTTGTTGCGTGAGGAGTGCTGCATGCAACAGTCTTTGGTTCCCTCGTTTCCTACATGTGCGTCCATGCTGTGACAGACAACAAATGCTCTGAATTTTGTACCTGTGCTGGCAGTGTTGCTTGACAACTCTTGGCATTCTTATCACTGTGTTAACCCAGGAGACCCTACAATGAGGAGATCACTAGCTTGCAATTATTCTAACCATTGCCTCCCCACAGTAAACTGATGCAGAAAATCATGTATTTGTTCCCAGGTGCATGTACATGTCTACGTTTGACTGTTACAAGCATCATTTGCTCTCAATTAGCTGCACATGTACAAGGTGCCTCGGCTCGTAAAAATCTGCCTGGAAATAAATACACAATTTTTTATTTATTTATTTTTTTTTGCTGGTAGAAAGCTTGTATGGACCACTGATGTTTAAAAACGGTGAGGATTATCTTTGTTTGTGTGTGTTCATGGAATTGTGGGTGGATGATGTACATGTAAGTCGTTGATTGTGGTTTGCTGGGAAAGAACTCAGCAACTTGCAGTATCGACCCCCGAACGTAAAGGGATATTATACTCTCTTTTATGCACTTTGAAAGGCACATGCTCGTTTTGGGTCTGTGGATTTTTCACTTGCTGGTTATGCAACCAACTCCAAGGAACACATGATTGTAATGCTAAATTAAATCTTGGTCATAAAACAGGATGCATTTAGAAATGTTTAAAATACATGCTGCCAGACCACACCGTAATACTAGAATCATTGAAGGGGAGGGTACACCGTTAACTGTTGTCCACATTTGTGTACCAGCAGCTTGATCGCATGTTTTATTGCTGGCTGTTAGAAAATGGCTGTGCTTGCCAGAGCACTTAGAACATGCCATGCATGAATGTGTACTGTTTCCCGTTCCATCCATGTTCACTCTGTCCGTCTCCACAAATGGAAATCGGCTCTTTCCATTGCAGTCTTAATTTTTCAAATGCATAGTTGTATCAGAGAGAGAGAGTTAATCAATCTCTTGGTAATTACATGTGCAAGATGAATGCAGTTTAGCGACGTGAACATTCATGTACATACTCGTAATAAAAAGGGAAAGTAACATTCCACACAATGTTGAGTGAATGTGTGATTTCTTTACCCTCTACCGCCTGAGATCAACAAATATGGGGGGGGGTATGTGAATGAAGTGGCTTCCAGAATTGAAACCTACATGTACATGTAAAAAGTCTGCAGCATGAGGGTAGTGCTTTGTGCACAAAAGAGTCTTTTCTGTGTTCAGTGTGCTGCAACCCAGCCAGGCTGCTGTTTGTGGGTTTGGGGTTTTTTGTTCCATCCCTCTCCTGTTGTCTCCTCTCTTGCTCTTTGTCTGAGGTGGAGGCATTTAATTCCAAAACCACAACTGCTGTCATTGTTGTGGCTTGGGCTTGAGGGTCCCTTAAAGGGGCAACCCAGGTTGTGTCCTCGGGCCGAATGCAGGAAGAGAGAAGGGGGTTTACCATCCAAGCTGAGGTAATTAATCTTTTTTAGGGGGATGTGCTTTTCAGAAAATCCTGTCGATAATTTATACAGTTAGCATTTTCACGAATATTCCATCCATTGCATGATGAAATAAGCATTGTATTTGAGTAACTATTGCTCTCCGATTGGGCCATTACAAAGATTTAGAGAAAGGTAGAAAACCCAAGCAGAAGAACTTCATACTTAACTTAATGACCTAAAATCCACGGATGGCCAGTTACATTACATTTCTAACATTCCCGTGAAAACTTTCCCGATCATTTGTTGTACCTCGCCAGTCAAGCAGATCTGCCCCTTTAAGGGCCAGACCTCTGGCTTCTCTAACCTCCACTCCCCCCTCCCTCTTGCCTCCGTGGCACGTGCCAGCCAGGTGCTTGGAGTGTGCCTTGAGCAGCGGAGGTCTCCAAGGTCACAGCCTAGCTCCATTCATCACCACAGCCAGCACAACAGGGTGCCCCTGCTCCCTTCATGTTTATCAATATCAGGGGACAGTTATTTATGACATAGTACCAGTTGACAAGAAGGGGAGGGAAAAAACCTCACAAAGATGGCCGGCTACTGGCTGTGTGGCGCAGTAGTCACCATTGCTGATAACAGTGAAACTGGTAGAGTTGATTCTAGTTGAGACGGGGTAGAAATCCTGAAGGTGGATGGGCAATTTAAAAAAAAAGATTAGTCAGTCTGAACGAACCCCAGTCAGAGCATAATTTCTTGATGTACAGGAAATTTTTTTTCTCTGAAATAGGAAACAAAATAATAAAGTTTCGACAGGATCAAAATGTTAGTCCGCTCTTCATTCTCACTCGGATCCTTTCACTCACATGCTGACAAATAATGTTGTTGCAGCCTGTTTCTTCTTAATAATAAAACCTGTTTGTAATTTGTACAGCTTTTTTCAAGATGTATTTTTGCGTTGGGGAGATGTTAATTTATATGACGGGTTTTGCCCTTGCTTGGTAAGGGGAAAACCTGTTATATAAATTAACATCTCCCCAATGCAAAAATACATCTTGAAAATAGTTCGCGGTACCCGCTGCTTCACCTGACTTGGACCGGCCAGNCGAGTAAGCTTGTGAATTTTTTTGCAAGTTCTCGGACAAGCACTGAGCATAAAATGTTTATCAATATATACTTTGGGTAAGGGCAAAACCTGTTTTATAAAGTGTACAGCTTTGTTAATATATTGTGGTGACTGGTTCTTCATAAATACAGTTCCATTAGTTTTCTTCTCATGTAGTCTGTTGCTTCACCTGCGCCCACAAAAGTAATTTTATAGAGCATTATGTGATATGTCTGTATTGAGGCAAGTTCCAAAACACTGCTGATCACACACGCATCATTAATTCTTAGTCACTGACACATGTTGTGGACTGGGCATGTGTAGAGAGGAATTGTTCTCAAGTTAATGTGTCAGGGAGTTAGTGTAAACGGATGTGTGCACATGCAAACACAAACTTGAGGGCAGGTTCTTCTTTGGTGAAATTTTTACGAGAGTTTTCTGGTTGCAGGACATGTCTTTGTGATCAATTGCAGCATCATCCGTGGAGTCGTGGTCCGTGACCCGTGCCTTAGTTTTTTTTTTATTAGTCTGGTTAGTGTGTCGTAGTGTGGAACGAAGTGTACAGAACAAGAGGAGGGAAACTCTGGGATTGTTTGGAGCTAAACAGTTGACATGGCATAGCGAATAATGGTGTGCGTATGATGTTGCCATCATCAGGTTGAGATTTTTGGTTTTGATAAAGCCCTACTGTGAAGTGATATGTTGTTAATAGTCTGAGATTTGATTGCCATTGGCTAGTGCATGTGCTTCTCAGATCGAGGGCCAATATAGTATAAATTACCAAGAAAATTTTACCTAAGTGCAGAAAGCATCTGGTTGTCAAAAGCAGGCTGCCATTGTAATTGGCTTGAGATGGTGGAATGTGACAGAAAGGTGCAGCTCATCCTGCACCCAACATTAGGGTGACAGCAGATTTCTGTTTTTAAAAGCACAAAAATTGACCAGGCTATATTCTGCTTTGGAGTTTCATGGGAAAGGTCCAAAGGCACGGCCTCTATAACTGCGATGGTCAGCGATGGCCTTTGCTTTGGATTCTGCATTTCTGACAAGTTTTTGAATTGACGGAATGAAAAACTATCCCTGTGTTTCTCACCCAATGTCTTGCAGGTGCTCCCTCCCACGGTGCGAAGCCTCCGCCCCTCACAGTAGTCACTAGCAGCAGCAGTAAGGCCACGCGCACCACTGCCACAGTCAACCCGCTCAACCAGTCTGCCAGCACAGTGACAGTGACCAGTGCCAATAGTACCAACCATGCCATGGCAGCCACTCGGACGTCCAGCTTTGCTGCTGCACTGCGCAAGCTGGCCAAACATGCAAATGACAATGGTAGGCGGATACCAAAATAAGTTTGTGAGCATAAGTTTTTTAAGCAAGTCCAGAGTAGCTTGACGTGGTTGGAGTAGTTTGGAGGTCAGAGCTCTTCCAAATAAGGATATATGCTCACGGAGTTCATGTACATGTACATAAGAAATGAGCGATGTATCAGAGTGAAGATCTTGAATTATTCTGGTGCGTGTTTGTAAGAGAATGGTTCCTTTGCCTGAGTGTTACATTGAACTTTGATCCGCAGGTCCTGAGGAGCACTCACCCAGGGTGTCCCCCGTCAGCATGAATCGCAGCACAGCCTCCACGCCCTCCACCAAGAACTTTCACTTTGGCCCCTCCCCGCTGGTGGTGCCAACCAGCACGCCGCCTGTGGTCACAATAGCCCCCACCCACACCAACAACTCCAGCCTCATGTCGGAGCAGAGAAGGGTAAGGAGATGAAGGGACTAAGGCTGCATCCTAATCCGTTGACTAGAGCTAGGTCTACATGTAGGTCTTCATTCTACTTAAAATACATAGACGTGCAGACGATAGACCTAGCCGTAGCTGTGAAAGCCCGTTTTAGACACAGCCTGAGGCTGAGTCTAAATTGTTGTGGCTATAGCTAGCAAGAACATGCGACCTATCGAGGGTGCTGGGTAAGTGGCCACAGCCACTCCCACATAGACACGTGTATTACTATTAGCCACAGCCAAGAGCTTTAGTCACAGTTTCATGTACCACACAACCTGCTGTAAAAGGGGCCAGTAACTTACCATCAAGTTGGCAGTGTCCTCTTCCTTCCTAGTCCTTCCAGTTTTTCTTGTTTGTTATCAGTTAAATATTCACAGCCTATCCTACTTTGTGAACCAGCATGCAATCTATAACCAAAGGAGTTTAGTTAAAATCCATTTCCATTTGCTGTTGAAAATTGAGAGACACATTTCTTCACATTTAGCTGCAAACATGTTTAAACATTGACTAGATACAAAAGGCAATCCATGGCTTATCCCTAGGGATAGCAGACGTGTTGATTGATACGTACAGGTAGGAATTGAAGTAGTGGGAAACACTCATATTTTCATTCAGTGAAAATAGCATCGACTGCTTTGAATTGTACATGTATATCAAAACGAGTCTCCCAAGGTGACCCATTGGGCAATTGCATTTTTCTGAGGTGGAGCCGAAGGAAAAAGGACATAGTCCCCTGACCACAGAGGCAGACTAGTTTTACTGTGTCTCCAGAGTCAAAGCCGTTGGTATTTGTTTTACAGTACATCGTCTACCGATTCTGCACTGCATAAAACATACCGGGTACCTGATCAGAAACCGATGGGAGGGGAGGGTGCCTTGGGTGATAATGGAATATCATCAGCATTGTACACCAGGCGCCTGTGCCAATATGGTACAGATTTGTATGCCTGCTCATGCATGCTGGATGCCAGATAGTGCAGACCAGCTTGTACAAATGAAATAAATTAAGGATGTAATTGTGGTGCATTCATTTGCAGTCGAGGATGGGGATCTTTTTCCCTGATTTTGAAAACGCGGGCAGACCTAATGAGAGCTGTCGCAAAGGTATGAGCAATACATGAACAGTAGGAAGTCCTTGATTCAAATGATATGTATGTACAAATGTATGCGTTATGTGTTGGCTTGGTGTGTGAACCTAAAGGAAATCGTTGCTTGGGGAAAAATTCCCTCAAGTGGGAGTCGTCTTCTTTGGCCTCTGAGCTGCGTCCCCCTCCCTTCCTCCCCATAACAAAATTGCCCTTATGTTTCATGTCGCATCAGTCATGAACATGAATGCCATAGGATGTGTGAAAAGTGGGAGGAGACTGTAAGGGTTAAATGTTGAACAGTAGGATTTGGGGTCAGCACACAATGGGCCAATCAGTGGTTACCTGCATAAAAAGAAGGAGCAAAATATTGAGTTAGAAATGTTGGCACCAACATCGCTTGAAAGAAAAATGGATTTTCGAACCAGCCAGAAATGATGTGTTTACAAATGCACATTGAGTATTTGCAGTGCTTAAGTCTTTGCGGTATGAATATGGATATTTGAGTATGTGTCTGCAGCTGCTGTTGTTTGTCCAGATGTAGCCTTACTAAAGGATCTCTGCAATGCAGTTTTTAATGCAAACCTTCAGAGTGCACCTTTGCATCTCTGTTCACCTCATGTTCAATTTTTGTTTCACTATTTGAAGGGGTGTGTTTCTGCCTTTGTGGGGTTTATGCTCTAGAGCAGTTCCATATTCATGAAAAAAACTGTGATGTCATTCTGGGGAGTAAACCTCAATGTTGCATTGGATTGTACACAAAGAACTACTGGATTTTTAAATATTTTGCTGACCTAAATTTTCTTTTCTTTGTAATTCATTGTTTCCTAAGTACCGGTCATGCAACCATTTCTCGAAATCATTTTCAGTGCGTAACTTCTGGATTCACTATTTGAAGAGAAAACCTATGCACTGGAACATGTCTTTCTGAACAACATCATCACAAGAGCGCTTTCAATTGTCCAGGAAAGCATAAAACAATTTTTATTGTTTGTCAAAGTGCACTTTTCAAGAAAAATTAACATAAAATGGATGTGGAATAGTTTTCACAAATTGAAGAAGAGGTTGAAGGTTAAAGAAAGGTTAAAGAAAGAGTGTATCTGAGAAAGTCAATCGCAGCCAGCGGGCTACCCTTTGAGCAATGCAGATGAGTGGTTTGTTGTTTTACGAGTCTGGTCTGAGCTTATTTGGAACCCTGTGGGAATATCAGTTTAATGAATGCCCATAAAACGAAACTAAACTGGAAATGCCACGCACATGGAATATTATTATGTATGCACAAGGCTGTCGTGGTCAGGGTCCACTGGTTACCATTGTCATGGTGCCTGCATAATCTGTGGCAGAATCGCCTGGTACTAGGACAGCATTAAATTAAACAAAAACCTGGCATTTTTTTTCCAGTTTCCCTAATACAGCTTCTGTTTGGGGCATCCATTATTCTGTTTGTGTGAATACGTTCTCTCTTGTTCTTCATTTAGGGTTGGTTAAAGTTCTTATAGCAAAAAAAAACCTGGAAAACAAACAAACAAAATCCAAACACAAATTACAAAACAAAAACAACAGATAAAACCGAACCCGCTTCCAAAAAAAATGCCCCAGGGAACTTCAAAAACTGTATAAAATGAGGCAATCTGTGAATTTGTGGAAGTTCAATTTAAACAATTTCCATCTGTGTTAATGTTTATTTGATGTCGCTGCATAGATAATTGTGTCTGCAGTCATGCATAATGAAATAGTTCCTGTCAATTAATATGTAATTGTAACTAGATAACAGATTATTCATGGATTTGGTTTTTATAGTTTGGTTTGGGTTACTACTTTTGAATGATTTTGTTCTTGGTTTTCATTAGTTATCACAAGAACTGGACAGGCATGGACATCACAATTCCTCGGAACAGCACAACAGTAGTCGGCATCCCTCCGAGTCAAGCAGCGCACCTAACTCCATATGGAGATCAAAAGGGAGTCCAGGTGCTGGACCAAGAAGGTATTGTTTTCACTTTTTGCTTTTCTTTTAAAAAAGAAAAAAGATGAAACCATTTCTGAGCATTGTATTGCTTAGAGTGCAGCAGCAGCCCTCTGGATTCATAATAAAGACCCTGCTTTTTCCTTCATTGCACTTTCAGACCTGGCTTTTTTCTAACGAACATGGGTGGTACCCTGGAGGGAGCAAATTGAAAAACAGAAAATTAAGTGTTGAACTAAGAACTATTTGTTAATTCAGAGTGTACATTGAGCCTGTGCAGTGTGTTAACATGCAGAGGATTTTTAGTTAAACTACGTCCACATTTTGTCAACCGTACCGCCTGGTCATAAGTAGTGGATTAATTAAACCAGTGCAACTGTCATCATGCACTAAGTGAACTTAGTTCAGCTATGACCAACAAATGTCATGTTGCTCAAGACTCGCCTGATCGCTTACAGATTTCAGGTTGTGTGATTGAAACTTGCTTTCTTGTTTGCCTCATGTCAGCAGACCTGTGCCCCAACACTTAAAGCCAGAGGAAAGCAACCCAGTCCGAGGATTCCAGCCCTACCGCTCAGGGGAGACGGAGATGACACCCCGTCCCCCGGCACCGGCTCCACCCCCTCCTCCACCTCCTCCGTCCCACTTGACCTATGACCCTGCTATGATGGCTGCTGCTCTTTCACCGTATCCATTCCACCAGGCCTTTATGGGCCCCCCACATATGCCCTACCACAGTTTCAGGTAGGTAGTTTCAGTGACTTCTGTAGAGTTTCATCCTTTGGGATGGAGATTTCCAACACATGCTTGGATTTAAGCTAGGCCTTCCTGCTTGCAAGGACTGTCATCTCACCCATCGAGTCAACTTGTTCAGATCTTGTTAGTTAATGGATATTGCTTTCAGTGAGACTCCTAATAGCCAAAGAGAAGGAATCGTTCTCCATCCTGATCCTAAGCCTCAGCGTATTGATAGAATGCAACACCGTCTCCTCAAATTCTCCATATCCCTATTTAGGTACCGGGTACCCTTGATAAGTCGTGCATAAGAACTGTAGTGTCTCTCCTAGATGGCAGTCATGTTCTTACTACGAACATAGCTTGATCCCCCCCCCCCATTGGCTTTGCATTCAGTGGCCTGTTCACATGTATGTGGAAGCTAACATCCTGATTATGACACTGCGACATTTGACAATATGGCTGGTGAAGTAATCACATGACCTTGTGTGCCCTCACCCTTTCCTTCACCAGTGCATGGCTTGCTTGAGTCGCATTCAGAGCCACTGTCGCGGGTCATTTATATTCTAAAGACAGGGTATTGTTCTACCTCAGGTAATGCACTTGAAATGGGCATTATGCTCTGTCCCTCATTCAATTAGTTTTGGTATTCCAACTCTGTAGTCTGAAGTGCATTCCCTTTGTTCCTATTACACTGGCTGTACTCTGGTAATTTCCTCAAGGGAGCCTTACGTCACAATAGGCTTTTGTCAAGGAGAGATTTGTCAGATGGTTGGGGGAGAGACAGACTGTTGGATTGTGTAAGTCTGTGCAAATTGAACTCGGTGAAATATATTCCTGGATTTCTCTCTCAGTTGTTTGTTCATTAGAGGCTTGGATGTCGGTGGTTTGAGTGTGTTTATTCCTGCTGCACAGAATGACCTTGCTATATTGTTTTAGTTTTTGGGTTCTTGTTCATTCTTGGTTGGTTGGTTTGTTGGTTGGCTGGCTGGCTGGCTGGCTAGTTGCATTTATTTCACATTGAATTTGTGGTAAGTGCTCAGTGCTTTAATCACAAAGGAAAATCACAGCTTTACAGACATTTATTGGAAGTCAAATTCCACATATAATTGCGTGTTTGTAAGATAACTGTATTTTGGCTTCAATTGCATACGATTTACGCATGATAGTCATGATTCTGTATCCAGAATTATCTGACAGATTTCTCCCAAATATCCGTTTTGGTTGTTGCATGTATGTGTCTGTCACCTGCCCTAAACCCCAGTTCTATTTTTGAAATAAATATTAGTGTAATTAATTGCTAGTAAAGAAAATGAATTGCTAGTAAAGAAATCTAGGGCTGTGTTGTGTCATATTTGGAATTGCCAACAGAAAATGGCAGGTTCTGTCCATAAGCACACTCGGCCCATACCTTTCGCCACCTTGGAGACAGACCGGGCAAACCTTGGGGCATCTAACACATTAGAGCGTGTTTCCTCCTGTTCCTACCGCTGGAATTTCAGCAAGAATAATAACGGAGCAGAAATTGGGCCGCTTTTTTTTTCTTCCTCCTTAAAACGTGCAGACTAGCATTAGCAGTATGGCCCACTTAACCGGGATGCGCTGGGGGTAGGAAAGCATGAAGCAGCCACATGTAATGGAATCTGTAATGGGATTATGCTCATCTTCTGCTTGGCAAACTGATGCCGTAGGTTTATGTATGTTTGTTTTTGTTTTTTTCAATGTGGAGAAGACAAAATTAGTCCAAACATTAAAAAGCTGCTACTTGAGTGGCAGAACAGTACATGTATATTTCACACATTTCCTTTTTCCTTGGGGAATCAAAGTATTAAAATAGCATCCTTTATTAAAAGAAGCTTGTTGGTGCACATACGTATGTACTTGATCATTTTTCAAGTTGACAAGTATTGTTTGCATAGGTTGAACTGACATCTTTGGAGACGTACAGTTTTTTCATTTCATCACGTTTCAGTGTTTTAGTTTTCAACGAATTTGTGGAATAGATAGGAAAACAAGTTAAATGGTCTTTTTTCACATTCATTTTGAAATGTTATTTTTGATCCCTTTTTCAACCTTAACTTTGTTACTTCTAAATACGTGTTATGTTTTATCAGCACATGTAAGGGTTGATCCTTTCTTGTAATGATTGTTAGTGGCAGCCTATTTTTTTGTTGGTTTCTTTCTCTGAAATACCAACAACTTTTTAAAATGTTCTGTACAATTTTTGAAGACCAACCGAGGGTGCAGTGCATGATGTCCGTGTGCTCACGTGTATGCATGTTCAAAGAACAACCCCAAATCTGACAAGATAACCCAAATTCAGTCATCCCCACTCCACTGTGCAGTGATTTTTTTTTCAGTCTCCCATCGCAGAAACAGCTTTTTCCATTCCCCGATTGAGGCCACCTGTGTAATCAATAAGAATTCTATTGCCGCTTCAGCGGTGTGGGCTGCACACGGCTGCAAACATAACATTTTGAGACCCCTTAATAAACAGATCACCTCCTGCGTATCTACATTAAGGTTTTTTTTTCCCCTCGCGAAACCATCAGACGGTTTCTGACACACAAACACATACACTGCCATTTCCCGGATGAGGGGATTCCATTAATAAGCTTGTGAAATGAGATGTGCAAAGCGTGGAGACACTGGAAAGTACAGCTTTTTCTATCTCTCTTCGTTTTTAAAAACAAAGTCCGTGCTAGTGATGCCTCGTCTCTGCTGTGATGCTATTATAAAGTCTGTCAGCTGTGCCAGATTTGAGAACTAATTGATGTCTTTTGAATCAACTGACATTTTCATGCGAGAATGGTTTTTATCTGGTTACAATACATTTGGAGAGAAGCACATGTATATTTAGAAATATACCTTGAGAACTTATTAAAATTTTGGTCATTTTGAAATTAATTATGCATTTATTACCACGCAGAGCATTTTTACATGATTTTAGAATTTCAAAGTTCTTGTGTTTACAAGGTTCAAACACGGAACAGTCGCAAAATTAATAATGCCAGATCTTGATGTGAGCAAAAAGGATATGGCATTGTTTTTGTAACATTGACAGGATACGAAAGCCCTATTAAAATATTGATCTGGCAGTGTTTAGTTGTGCTGATTCCAGAGGGAGGGAAGTGCTTATGCCTTTAAATACATGATTTGAAATAGCATTTCATCAGGAGATTATGGACGGTCGCGCGGCACCACTGCGTGTATAATTGATCTACACGGCTGGCCTCAGTAAGCCATCGTGCAAAACCCGAGCCGCTCTCTGTAATAACAGCATCATGCTTGAGCGCATTCAGTAGCAAGGTGATGCATGGTGCCGTCGCTCGGAGGCAGATGTGTCGGCTGACGGTCGGCTGTTCTGCATCCCGGGGGGGGGAGGAAGAGGGGAGAAATGAGAGGTGTGACGTGCTTTATTTCTCTTCCCCCCCCCTGTCTCGCCCTCGATGGGGAGATACATTTACCTTGTGATTTAGACAGCTGTCGCCCTTGTGTGACATGCAACACAGTGGTTTTTCAGGTGTGATGGCAAGTGAGGCGCCGAGTGTTGGTTTGTTGAGGAATATTGCTCAGATTGGCATTGGCTTTTACTAATAACACACACTATGCCAGTGGCATGTAATATAATTGCATGTTCGTTTACATTACCTGGTTTTGTCTCAAGGTAAACTGCTGGTGTCTTAAACTGGTATAACTAAGATGGGGGGGTATATGGCTAGGGCATACATTGTCTTCATTTGAGAGAAAAATGTTCTCGTAAGTAGATCTGGAAAGGGGATTACTTTTAATAACGTTTTGATAAAATGCTTCTGAATGAAATGTTTTGGATGGATGGGTAGTTTGTAGTAGTGTATTTGTTCAGAGGTTAAACTGAATACTTGTACCATGTATCTTGCATGGAACCTCACTCCTCCGAGTTCACCAGAAATAAGGAACAGTGGAGAGTAGAATATTTAATGGATGTTTCAACCCCCCCACCTCTACCCCACCCAAGAGCTAAACCTTTTTTGAGCCAAACCTGGATCCGCCCATGTAAGCCTCTTGCAAATTTCACAGTGATAGGACAGGCATTAATATTCTGTCAATTGATTTTTCATCCGTGACTTGAAAAAAAAAATTTCCCTTCTCATTTGTGACAAGAAACCAAACATTAACAGAATGCTGTAGTGAATGCATTTTCTCCTTGTTTGTTCAGGAAATGTGGGCTTTGGAATCTTAACTGTTGTGTGCACAGCCAGGCTTGCCATGTCCCAGATAACATCCAATTTGTCATGAATGTTACCAGGCGGTTACCTTGGATACCAACGGCTGCTTTGTGCAATTGATAGTCGTGTCGTAAGATTGGTCTGTCCGCAATGCGTGTAATTTATTTTTCTTAGTAAGTGGTTAGCACAGATGATCACAACCACCATTTAGTCACTTCGTTGTTGACCTTGGCAACAAATTAATGGGCTGATACGCTCAATTGTAGGTTAAAGTGATTTTCACTTCACAGGTATACATTAATGTGTTTTGTTTGAGGATTTCTTCCCTTTTTTTTACAGCCGGTCATTTATTCAGATTTCCTTAACTTTCGCATATATGTAGACATTCAGAAATGGCGATACACGTTTCGAATAAGGTATAAACTACAAAACACAGTACTTGGTTTTCTGGACTGTTCCTATTGATAACACCGACCCAAAAATGCCTCTAAAGCTGTTTTTTCAGAGACTGGAAAATACTTTGTGGACATGTGCACATCCACACACCGTGTATTACTCCTGCGTGATGTCGACTTCTTTTGTCATGCCACACTTTTGCACTAGGCCCTAACAGAAGGTGCCCAACCCATAGCATCTGCTTGTAGGCTGCAGTCACACAATCAGCAGCTGGCTCTTGAGTGTCTGTCTGGCATGCATTTCTTTGTCTTGGTCACAGTTGATTTGGTATTTGCACCAGCAACATGCTAAGATTACATGTCAGTTGCCATCAGACAACTAGGGGGCCTTTCTCCTGTTGCCCCACCCCTCGCCACATTGTGAATGGTGCTGCCAGCACTTTTTTCATAACCCAGCGATCTGGAGGCAGTCTAGATAGGACAAATTTTTATCAGATCAGAGTTTCCTGTGGAAAGTTAGTGTCACATGACCACAGCATGATGAGCTGTGACACATGCCATAAATATGTAGTTTGCAACACAAATGTACCCCATCCCTTCTGGTTGATCCGTATAATCCAGTAGCTGTGTGTTTGTCTCCCTGTCTACAGGCCTGAAGATTCCTACGATAGGTACAGCAGTTACCCAGGTCTGCGCCCTCCCCCCTTCATCCCCTTCTCCTCTCCCCCCAGCCACCTCTTCCCCCACCCCGCCATCAACCCCCTGGCATTTTCAGGCATGCGCTACTCGGGAGACCTGGCCGCCATGCAGCTGTCTCATCTCTCCCCGGGGGTCTCATTTGGAGGGCTGGTGTCACCCTCGGCCCAACATGAAAGGTGAGCAGCGTGTTTTGCAATATGTCTCATCCCACGATGCCTGTTCAGAATGTGTGCTACATTGTTTTACTCTGTCTGCCCTTGAAGTTAATTATGGTGAGAAATTTGTAGTTAATAAGAGGATCTTAAGGAAGAAAAATGCTTCACAGTTCCTTGAAAGTAAGTCCCCAAGTGCTTATGACATAGCTACATGTATGTTTAACCCTAACACTCTTCAATCCTTCACCTGTTGGAGGACTGAGGAGTGTTAGGGTTAAAATCAATTTCAGATTTTTTGACCAGACTGTTTTGTAAGCCTCTATTTAATTTTAGTTTTCAGTATTTTTAACATGTATTTAAAAATACTGAAAACTAAAATTAAATATATTTCTTAGTGCATACATTTCTTTTCTTATACATAGAAGTTAAGGTGTTACCCTCAAAGACCCGATGTATGGTGGACTTGTGATTTCACTTTCAATTGACCGGATTACTACTCTGAACTTTGCAGCTGCTGCAGACATGAAGCTTGGAGTAGGTTTCCCCATCTCTCCGTTTCCCCTCTGTGACTGTGTAAAAATGCAACAGTCAAACTTTTCTTTTACAGAGAGAAGTTGCTGTTGGACCAGCAGCGGGATCGCGAGCGGCGGGCTGAGGAGGCCAAGCAAGAGGCAGCTCAGAAGGAGAAGCAACAGCAGCAACAGCGAGAGACAGAACGGGAGAATCATGACAGAGCGCTGCTGTCCAGGAGCCACGAGGACAAGCGCTGCTCGCCAAGAGGTATGATTGACTACCAGTATTTAATACAAAAGCTTGCGCCAGGTTGCATGTGCCTGCTCTAGCATTGCACCTTTGATATATGCCTTATCTCGACATTAGTGTTGATTGGACGCATCGAACCATTTGTGGCAAGGAAAACTAAACCCTTTCATTTACATGGCACATTCTCTGCTCACGGTTGATTACCGATGTCATGAAATTAGACGTGCCTGGGTGACTGATATGACTGGAAGCATAATTGTGTGGTTAGAAGTAGTCGTACCATTACTGAGGGGGCATGTTTGGGAGAGGGCCCAGTGCTTTAAGCCCTTGCCCACTTGTATTCCCCTCAGATTCGGGCAAGAAAAAAATATAAAGAAGCTTTATATCAATTAGAACTTTGACCAAACCAAGAAAAGAATGCCCACAGTCATCCCTGCACATTGGATGCTCGTTGCGTTACAAGGGGAAAAAAAGCTGGCTACTACTGTTTGCCTTTAGGCCTCTTTATACTTTTAGTTAGTCTGCTAAGGTGCTGTACCTTCAGTATATTAATGTTTTCACATGTAGCAGACTAGCATGGATGTTTGCATCTTTGCCTGTTGAGTAGTTGAATTTGCCAAGCAATTTTCTTTGCAAGCTTTGTCATAGCTGGATCCTAGTCCATCACCTTTCTTTTCCTCTTTGTCCTGGTTTCAGATGGCTCTCACCTCCGGCACTCTAGCTCTCACCACCACAACCACCACCACCACCATCACCACCACCAGCAGCTGGCGCACTCGCAACATCACCTTGGGACGCCCAGGGTGCCGTCCTCGACTTCGGCCTCCACCCCTTCCTCCTCTGGCCACCGTGACCCAGAGCAGAGCCCCCTGCCGCTGCTCAAGAAGGCCGATGTGGAGGACCGCTGGCAGAGCAAGCACCTGAAGGATGGCTCCAGCGGTGATGCCCAGTACCGGCATGTCAGGAATTCACAGGTGAACTCAGTTTTCCCTTTTCCTGCCCCCCCTGCCCAGCCCCCCCCCTCCAGTTCTGATTGATCATGTTTCCCTCTTGTGCTAAGCCCAAAATTAGGAATGCGTATGCTTGAGTTCATTCTTCTCAACAAGTTTCTTGATTGTCTTGGCAGGCAACATCACATGAAAACCATGTCTCTCACACCTCAGAGAAAGAAAGGAAGTCATCCCTACACCATGAACGAGAGTTGCTGCTGCAACAGGACAGGCGTATTGCAGAGAGGTACCTTGAACATGGACCTACGAACCTGATTGTTGAAGTTGCTGTCAAATCTGGTCTCCAAGAAAGGAAAATGATTAGGTTATTGTTACTTCGAGATGTGCCTTTGGAAAGTGTGTTCACATAACGTTTCAGATTTCCCTAAGTGAGACAAAACCCTTCCAGAAATCTTTGAAAATTTAATGCACAAAGCTTACACTTTGAATGTGAACAGCAAGAGCTGTCCGGATGTCAGTTTTTTGCTTATCACCTTAGCTGTGCTGTGTTTTTTTTAGGTAGTATTATAGAGTTTGATCCAGTGCTCTCCATTCTCACATGCAGACATGAAAAAGAGCGAAATCTTCTGCGGGAACAGCGGAACCAAGCTAGAGGTGAGCATCACCACAGTGGCAGACCGCCTCCTTTAGTGTCACCAGTGCGTCCAACTCGGGAGGAAATGTACCGGCACAAACTCTTCAACAACCATCGGCCGTCGGGCCAGGACACTGTCATTCCCCCACAGTATGACTATGAGCGCCTCAACAATGTTGACCGGATTCTTTTGAACGATAAGTCATCGGTGTCTGCATCTGGGACAACGGCGGCCACAACAACATCTGCAGCAGAGAAGGCCTGGTACGAACAGCAGCGGACCATGATGGCCAGCCGCGTGCAGAGTCCCCATGGGAGCACTGCCAGGGAGTTTGACCACGAGGCGCGTGTTGTTGTCACCAACAGCCACGGCCCCCAGCCACCGGGGGTTGCCACACACAGCAAGTCATCCCATCTCAGCCAGTACGACTACGACCGGCCACACGCGGAGTTCAACTACCACTGGCAGGATTTGTATCGGCTCAGCCAACAGGTGCGGGACCACAGTGGTGTGCAGCTGAATGAGGTCGGGGAACCAGTGGTGTCCAAGCTCGACCTGGAGGGTCGGAAGCGGACTGAGACCCGAGCCAACGGCATCTACATCTCCAGCGAAAGTGACTCAGACAGTGAGGAAGAGACGGAAGTCAAAAGGCAGCGGTACCGAAAGAGGATGCACAGGATTGTTAGAAAGTCTTGCATGACTCTAGATGACTCGGAGAAGAAGACCAACTTTTTCCAGGTCATGGGCCTGGTTACACATGGGAAGAAAGAAGGTATAGTCCAAATAGTAATCCAGTCAACCACAAGTTAGATCATCGGCCAGGTACAAGTCAAACCACCAGGTGGATCAAAACTAGTTCACAAGTGACGAGGAATGAACCATGCTAAAGGATTGAAAAGAATCATTGTTGTCACTGTTCATCAGAATAACCCGCAATTTGTCTTCAGACTTACTGAATTTTACAGACCTTGCTTGTTGGATGAAAAAGTATGGATTATTGTGATATGGGGAGTGCAGAGAATTTCACAAATTGTCTCCTGCAAAAATGGCTCATGTGCAGAAAATCTCTTCACTCACATACACAACAACCCAACAGACAGACTCTCATTTAGAAGAAGTTGAATTCCATTCAAATCACTTTTATGTGTCAATTGTGTATCCCTCAGGTTTTTTTCAGTGGCTGTGGTTAGGGTGGTTTGGTTGCTGTCTACTTCTGTTGCACCTATCTGTAGTATTAGCAACAGAAACCAGACCATTCTGTAATGAAAGAATTTCAAACTTCAATCAACCAAGCTATAAAAGAAAACAATCTGTGGAAAGTGAATGTAGGATTTAGTTAAAAATAAGAAAGAAAGAAAAAGCTATTGCCTTTCCGCACTTTGTGGAAAAGCCCCCCCAAAAAGCAGTTGGCTATGGCCGTGGGGCTAGAACTGGGGTCTGCATGCTTTTGGAATAGCATGTGGTCAACCAGCTTTCACAACACTTCAACTGTCCAGGGGAATCGGAAACCTTTTATAGATTGACAATGCTTGTTGTACAGTGCCATCACTGAAGAATTTGTGAGTCACAGTAGGGCTTCCGTAACTATAGCCAGTGCGTTCAGATTTTCCTGGAGCTCTTCATTTTCATTCTCTGAGATGATGCATGTCTGTTTCACACTTTCCAGAGATCAGCGAGGAGAAGAGGAGGAAACGGAGGCTGTGGCTGAAGGAGGAGCAGCCGCCGGCCAAAGTCAGCCGGCCGTCCTCGGAGCTGGTCAGCCTGCTGCCCGCTCCGGCCAGCCTGAGCCAGGAGGACTTCCAGCGGGAGCTGGACTACCCCCACAAGTGCCGGTTCCTGCGCGGCCTGGGACTGGATGTGGTGGGAGTAGACAAGCGGAAAGGTTGGTGGCCAGCCGTCGTTTATTCTGATTGCATTCACCATCATCTTGAACAAATTGAGCATTTTTTGGCAATCCACAGTCCTTACAAACAAATCCTGATTCCCTCAGCGGCAATTCTCGTGATGGATGCTGAGTAGGAGTTGTAGAGGGTAGTATTTTGTCTCGTTATGAAAGCAACAGAAGGACATGCGTGGAGGGGGGAGGATTCAGTGAAATGTAAATATGCAATAGAACAAAAACCACAAATACAAATGGATTTCCAATTTTCAGAAATGGAGAAGGCACGAGCAGCTGTTGAAGCTTACCGGATAAGGCAAGCCAAGAAGAAGGAGGCAGCAGCTGAAGGGGAGACCAAGGGGGAATCTGTGTCTACGGCAGGCAGCTCAGAAACAGCACAGACACCGACCACTCCCACCAACTCAGGTATGAGTAAGAATAGTTTCTTTCATTAAAGTGTTGCTGTAGAATTTTCACGTGCAGATTTGATTCCAAGTTTGGTTGGATTAGATTTTGTAACAAGTTCTTGTGATGGAAGTTTCTAGTGATGGAAGTTTCGAATTCCTGGTTTTGAGTTCAGAATTATACATTTGGGCTTGGCGTAAAATGAATATAAAGTGTCCTTTTACTGCCAAACACAGGTACCGATAGTAAAGTAGAAACCTCTGAAAATCCCCAGTGCAAAACTGCTTTTGGTGAGACTTTTCCGAACCACTTGGTGTCGTCATCGCCTGGGGTGCAAGCCCACACGCAGAATGAGAGAACATTACCAAGTGGGGGTAGCAGCACTCCCCAGACACGGACCCCAGACAATAGTCTGCACCCAGTGCCTGGCAAGCAGCTGTCGCTTTCGGATAGGGACATCAAGAAGGAGCCCGCTGCAGGTAGTGAGAGGGCAGACCTAGCCCGCAGTAGTAGCAACAACAACAGGAGTGGTACTACTGCTGACCAGCAAGGCCCCGGGGGTGCCCTGCCGTTCTCCACTGCTGCCCTGCTGTCGCGGGGGGGACCCAGTGTTGGAGGGGCGGGGAAGCCCCCCTCCCAGTTTGAAGGCTTTGCCCAGGAGTTCCACCAGTCGGTGCTGCGGACCACGCAGGAGGCCATGGCCCAGCAGAGGGTGGGCTCCTTGGGCTCCAACAGCTCTAGCCTGGTTCAGGTGGACGCCCAAAGGCGGGACAGGCACGCTTTTGCTGGCCTGACGAACTCAAACAGTGAGAGTACTGGCTCGGGTCGGAGTAACGGCACAGTGTGGTCTAAGGGACAGCTGCAGTGGCCTGGAGTGGAAGCAGTGATGGACTCATATCAGAGACATGCAAAAGGTAAGCCTTGAATTCTATTCTTCTTGGTATCTCTCTCCTCCCATTTGAAGATTTCATGGTAGTTGTTCCTCTTAAGAACACTTAATGCTCCTCATGATTACAGAGCTATAGGAAGGACTGTAGTTGCAGTTATGACGCCGCCTTTTACACAGATTAAACCTAATCCTGTCATGTTTTATTTGACTGGAGGCAAAGACTGTAGTGTTGGTAGTGACCCGTGTTTGACAGCATTTCATTCCATATTGTGTCAGCAAGTGAAGCCAGTGCTTCAGTTGCAATTGCAGTGGTTACCATGCAAAGCCCATTTTCTGCCGGTGATGTCAGTTCAAATCTTGTTGTTGCAAATTTGCAAAAGTTGAACTCATTCCCACCGAAATGAATATCGCTGCAGACGTTCACAACAGCAAAGTTGCTGTGCTTTGCCTTCTCCTAGCGTAGACGGCCTCAGTTTTGAAATTGTTCAAAATGTTTACAGGGTCTTAAACAGGCAATCAATCAGAGCTCAAAACAAGTCCAAGCAAAGCAGGAAAGGGGTGACCTATAACTGGGGACTTTTAATTGTGGCTTACAAGGGCCTTTTCCTTTCCCCTCAACTGACAGAGCAAGAGCTGGAACGGAGTGTGTTACTCGACCAACAGGGAAGATTGAGGGTATGCAATGGTGAGCTGAACAGCACGGCTGAGCAGCTCCGACTCAAAATGGCTGTAAGTTCCCTCTGGCCATCCCCGCCTCAACACGCCATGCGAACCCACCCTCAGTCGTGGACCACCCATTGTTTATCCCAATTAATTACCATAACATTTGGCGAAAGGCTCCAATGGAGTATGTACATGGTTTTGAAATGTGAAAGAAAGTACAAAGGTGAATCAAAGTTTCCAGCAAAAGTGAAAGTTTTCTGTGGCACAGTACAGAAAGTGGCTGCCTTATCAGAAAAACATGCATGTGTATCAAAGGTGAGGATGGCAGCCAAATGGAAAATGCCAATTAAATGTTGCACAAGATCACTACAGCGTTTATTTAGAGAGGTCAGTTTTCTCCATTGTCCAATGTCTAGCTGTACTGCATGTAAACAGGGCTACCATCTGATGTGCTTTGATATGGCACTCATGATTAGACCAAAGGGTGCCCTCTGTGTAGTTACTCTACAAAGACCTCTTACCACTGGCCAGTCTATCACAAAACTTACCTGAATTTGTCTGGATTCCCCCCCCCCAGGACATGATGGAGAGAAAACAGCTGTTACACCGAGAGCAGGAAGCCTACCTCAGGGACCTACACCATCTGCAAAAGTATGTGTACAACATGAGGAAGTGAACTCCGTCAGCCATGGTTCAGGGCCACAATCCATTTTACAGGGCCATCACCATAGCAACCACTAAAAATGCAACAATTTATTTAATTCAAAGGGGGCCATTTTGAAAGTGAGTGTAAATATTTGGTATTATCTTCTCAAGAGTTCCTGTCCACGTTTTCTTCTTCCTTTTCCTTTTTTTTCTTTCCGAGGAAAGCTTTTGGCTTTAATTTAACAGATAGAGAAGATTAACTCTTTCTAGAACACTTTGAGACTGTTTCGTTGTCCATGCATCACGTGACTACCAGTACTTGTCTGTTTATTATACAAGACCATGCACTGGTTTTATTATGTATTTTAGACTTATCACAAATGGTTTATGTACATTTCGTCAACAGGAGACTTTGGTATATTATTGGGGAAGAAGTGCAATTGGGGAATTGTAAAATGACAGAAAAACCCCTTGTAATTTATTGCGATGCAAATTGAATGCATTACTTATCGGACGTCGTGTTCAAGATGATGTCATGACAATTTGTGCAGTGTGTTAAATGCTTCACAGCTAAGATAGTGACGTTTTTTTGTGTGTTCAGTTGTGTAGAAAGAATTCCAGTTGCAGAACCTGCTCAATTAGGAATTGTCCCAGAATTAAAAAAAACCTTGGCAAATTGTTCGGAGAAACTGATTTGAAATATGTTCCAAATCTTTAGTTACATGTGTTGGTTATAATCGGAGTCATATGCAAATTGGGAGAAAAATGAGCTCAAAATCAACTGTTCCCTGTCTCAGCTCAAAATCACGTGATCCTTAATTAGTTCAGGACTTTTGTCTGTGTAATCAGTGGTTACCTTCAAATAAATGGCTCAAACGGTTCCTCTACAAAGACCAGCTCTGGTGGCGTAGTGCATCTACCAGAGTAAATGTGAACAATCAAAGGGGAAGTGGTATTTTTTTAATGTAAAACAACCGCAGAACTTGCCAAGTTCGTTTCTTGGCCCCAAATTGTCTTCAGCACCAGTATTGAAAGATATTATTGCTTTAGAAGGGCAAGTGTATATTTCTGTTCTGTTGTACAATGAAGCACTGAGCACTTTCCACAGTGTCTTGTCTTGTGTATTTATTCATCCTGAAGGACTTCATGTTATTCACTTGTGAATGTAGACAAGAAATTTATTTATTGCTCTGAAATATTTAACACTTAGAAAAAAGGATTATGTTTTGACGTTTGGAAAGAATTTGCATTAATTTATACAGCCCTTGATGTGTGTTTGTATAAAGTGAAGGTCAAAGCGATGTTTTAAACAAATAATGAAGAATACCTCTCACCGTGATAAATTTTTAAATGGTCCGATCGCTATCCCAACCCTCACAGTACTCAAGTGTTTTATCAATTAATTTGAAATGCGCATTTCAAACCACATGGAAACAAGAAAGCTATTTCTTTTAACGTGATTCTAGTTTGGTTTTTTTTATGAAATGAACTATCAAGAGTAATTTATTTTAAGTGCATTGATTTTCACTTGTAATTTGAAATCATCACAGACAAGAAGGAATCATTCTCTAAATGTTGTAAATTTGGAGGAGTTTGGGTTAGATCAAGAAAATGCAGTGGCAGGCTTGCAATTATTTAATGATAAAAATCGATTCTCAGAGTTCTGCAAGTCACATGCGCATTTTTATCTATTTAAATGCATTCAGTAATGGGTTTCAAGAACAGGCATGCATGTACATTGTTCACTGGCACTTGATGGTTGTTAGTATTGTGGGCTTTAAATAAGTCTTGGAAAGCAGGTGTCATACCGTCAACAGGTGTTGACAAAGCAAGACTGAACTTTACTTTTGCTGAATCACGAGTGAAGTTTTTGCCGTCTAGTGGTTGGTGAAACATGGCTTACCATGAGTGCAAAAGCGTCATTCACAGTGTGGAAACAATCTCATGTGATTACTTGCACAGAAAACAATGAGAAGGCCTCCCAATGTAACACTGATGTAACAAAAATGGGCATTATGAGGCGATAGTTGTTGACAACCGACTTTGGGGCAAACTTTGGTTACCTATACAAAATGGCAGTCAATGTTTGTAAACAAAAGCAAGGCTTGTTGCGATTCAGAAAACCGTATGTTCTGTTCTCACGTCCGGAGTGTACTCAGTTGAGGGTAGCCGGTCTAAAGAGCAGGGCTGGACATGGACATCAGTGTGAAGATGACCATGAAGGAACATTAGCCCACTGTGCTTGATCATTGTAAAGGGAAGGGGTTGATGAAGACATTGTGAAGGGGTTGGAAGTTGACGAAGAGTCAACAAGAAACCCTTGACAATGACCCTCACTTTCCACCCCAAACTGGCATTTATTTGCTTCGTTAAGCACTCAACTCTCAAAAGTCGCATACTTTTGTAAGCTCTCAATGTGTCTTATGTATTCTCACTGTACTGTAATGCTGCACTTGTGTCATACGGTAATACCACTTTACAATGTAATAAATACCACCGGTGGTAGCTACTTTAGAGAATTCCTGTGGACTGCAGACTTTGTATCTGGACAAGAGATCACACACTTGTTGTTGCAGTCCGTAGTTCATTTGTGTACTTACCTTCTTTTTCTGAAATGCTTGTCATTACAAGTGGGCGTAGGATCCCCCCCCAACTTTGATATGCCGTACCCAGAATATTGATTCCAGAAATTCATTTTCATGACATTTTTAGGAAAAAAGCATGTCAGGAATAAAGCTTTTCTATTCTGGGGACATCAAACTGAAATTCACACACCATGTTCCCAGAATCTGTCAAGGTTTGATTATTTTGTCAAGGCGGGTTCATAGTCCCAGAAAAATGTACATGTAAATGCAAAGCGAATTTGACATCACGAACCAGTTGAGATTTGCAAGTGTAATCGTTGTCTTCACTCCGTAGACATTCATGTCAAACATTGGTCATATACATGTAGCTGCAGTTGTGATTTGAAGTATAAACCTGCTTTTACAATTTGGCACGAAACATAACAAAATTGGGCACAAAATTATTCCGACACACTGATAAGTGTGTTACATAGATTTGGCAAGAACAAGCTTTTGCACGTTTTATATTTTGAAACATATCATTTATTTATACCTTCCATTTCCACTGACCATCTTCGGGGGGAGGGGGGGTAATTTTACCAGTACATATACATGTGCTCATATGCTCATCAAATAATGGGGGGAGAATGGCAGCTCGCCATATATAGTTTCGTTTAAATCATCTACAAAGGCTGCTTCTGTGTTAGTGATTAGTCAGCAGTGTTGGTGATCGTAGTGTTTGATCAAGTTCAGTAATACAAAAAGTTGGCTGCTTCATGTTGGGCTTATGCTGTGCCAAAATCTTCCCTTCTGAAGAAAAAAAATCTCACTTTTGACTGGTAAAGAATAAATATTCAGTGTGTGCAAAAAGGGGGGGACTTGTTTTGGGTCAAACTCAAAACATGCTTTTTGAAAAAACAGCATACGCTTGTGAAATATTTTCTAAGAAAAAAGTTTCCATTGTCTTTGTGACTGATAAATTAAGACAAATTTTTAACTCGTTGGTTTTCATTCTTGTATATTAATACAGTGGTGGAACTATTGTTGAAACGTCCCCAACTGCAAGGGGACATTTTTTTCTATCACCAATGTACATTCATGTACATGTATCATACCAAGGTAGGAATTCGGAAAAAAATTCTAACATATCAATCAATGTGGTGACCAAACTGGATTTTGATTGAGATTACCGAGGGTAGATCTACAAACCTGTGTTGATGAAAATGTTAATAAATAGCCATTCTAAAGAGATAAAGGCTAAACTGTGAAGACTTTAAGAGATTATGATCTATTTGTGAAGTAATTTAAATAAATGAAAGAGATTAAATATTGTGTTTTGTACAGTGGTCACTGGGAGTGCTTTGTCTTGTGAATTTTTATCATTGTGTTGAATGTTGTAATGACGAGAAATGTTTAAAATCACTGTAAACATTCGTGTAACTTTTTACGATGTTTAAATGCCTTAAATCACCAAAATCTAACAACTTGTCATGCATTGTTTGGATAGACTTTGGATTATATATTCAGTCTAACCATTGTTATCTTGCCTAGAACTCAAAAGACTCAAATTTGGCTTACACTCCAAATTATAGACAGGTCAGGTGATGAATTATGACGGGAGTTCCTTTTGGTTTGTCATTGGTCATTTGTTTCGTGTGACCTTGGATGACTTTCGCTTGACATGAAAGGAAAGATATGACAACACACTCCGTCCAGAAAGTGTCACTGATTCTAAATGCAGCAGTGTGTAATTTTGGAGGATTCAAGCAATTCCTTAGCTAAGCATACCCCTGAGGTGGGGGTTATGTATTCGTAAATTTTGCAGGGGGACATCCCCCCCCAAAAAAAAAAACAAGGGATGTATAAAATACAAAAGGGGGATTCCATTAAATGAAATTTTTAGTCTTCTTGGTCAATTTATAATGCAGTGGCAGTGTACACATGCAATCACACTTCCATTTACACAGTGAATTTGCAATATCCAGACACCATTTGAAGAAGCAAAGTTCTGGATGCCTAAACAGATACCCATTTTACAAGTACTTCTGCTAATCACCTATACCGCATGCACATGGACTAGTTTTACAAGTTGTCCAGCTTAATCTTACTGACTTACATGACAGACCAAAATACATAAACCCCTTTCACAACCAGGTCAAGAGAGTTCAAGAAGTGCTGCTACCCAGACTGACACAACAAACAAGGCAGAAAGCAGGCACTTTAAGTTGACAAGCTCTTTTTGGATGGGTCATTCCTGTGTATTCGGCGGTCCACCAGTCAACATGTTCATCCTTAGTGTGTGCATGTGATCCAAGGCCTGAGTAAGGAATGGACGGACAGTGTTTATCTCCATCAGAGACAGGTTGTCAAGCTGTGTTGAAAAAGAAAAAAGAGCAAATCATCGAGACACTTGAATTTAAATTCTGGTTGCAGATCAATCCTTTCATATGCTTTTTATACAGGACAGCTATCTTCGATGTGGGAGATAAAAACAGAGATGAGAAGAGTTAGACGTGCCAAGCATTTCATACACTGCTGAATTTATCCAACAGGCACAGTAAATCGGACATTGTCTAGGGGCCTACAAAAATTCTAAGGGCTCACCAAACAAAAGCATGCTTCCCTTTTTGAATTTTCAGTTTGGACAGGCTTAACACTGGCTAGTACATGTACATTAGTACAGCTTAGCACCAGCATGAAATGCGAGGCTCCAGCACTGCTATGCACCAGCATTATAAAATTGGTGCTGGTGCCTGAGAATAGGATCTACAGAATATCGGTGCCAAGGGGCTGGACGTAAGGAACACTCTATCAGGCCCCGATTTCATAGTTACTAAGTTCACACAAAAAACACCTCTGTGAGCACAATTTACATGTAGGCTTTCAGTTTTCTCTTCTAAAGTGAACCAAAAAGTCAACCAAAAAAAACTGCTGCAAACTGCTTACTGACTGTAGTAACCTTTACTGTACAAAGCTTTGCTTCTTTAGCCCTAACCTTCCCCAACCACACAGAATTAAACAGTAATAAAGTGTTTAATTCTGTGGGAATGAGTCTGGTAGGCCCATAACATCTGGCTTTTGCTTTGGGTTTGGCATACCTCAGAAAAACAAAGTCCAACAGCCTCTGTGCACAAAGTCCCATATGTATGTTTAACTTTGTGTGAATGGGGAAGGTTAGGGCCAACAACCCTTTGGGGGTTAGGGTAAGTGAATTTTTTCCAACATACATGTATATGTAAAACTGCCTCTTGTCCTTACCCTGGCGTAGGTCTCCTGATCTTTGACAAACTTGTCTATGCTCTGTCTCAATTTGGACATTCTCAAATCCCAGATGTCCTTAATCAGCGTGTGAACCTCATCAGCATGGGGTATGTCATCAGTTGCACTGTACAATAATACCAGTGAAGTGGAAGTCAAAGTAATACTTATCCCACGTTTCCAGTTGCACGTTTCATTAATCCAAGTCTAGTGGTTTTCAAACAGTGTGTAGTATCAAGATCTGAAACTCCCTAGTAATAGCTGCAATTGAAATTTATTTTAGACAATTGTTACTTTTTGATAAATCATATTGGTGAAAAATCTGTTATTGGAATAATCCTATGACCAGTTTTTCGACAAGGAATTCCAAGATATTGCCTTCAATTTGTTTTCATTTAAACAGCTTGTCTGCCAGTACTTGCTCTTTAATCATGCAACCCAGGAGATACCAATCCAAGCCAACATTTTAGTTATTACAATTTAGTTATTACAAATTAGACATGTTGGAGCACTCCCCTTTTTGAACAATGACAAAAATTAAATAATGTGGAAACTTACTGGCTTAATAACAATTTAGTAACCTCCATGTAGTTTTCATTCAGCATTGGCTGGAAGATAGGTGAATCTTTTTCCTCTTGCTTTTTGGCCTGGAGTTTGTCTGAGTAATAATGACAAATAGTCAAAAACACATTTGTAACTTGTCTCTAATGTTACATCAGGCATGTTAGGCATCATGAACGATTTCAAATCATTGAGAGACCCATACCTTACATGACTTCTATCTTGGACGACTGGTACCATGGACGACTCCTACCTTGGACAACTCGTACCTTTGACAACTCATACCTCGAGGTAAGACCACTTGTACCTTCATGTTCGCAATTCAGTTGCAACTTTCTTGCTTTTCTTTTTCATCATGTTTAAGATCTGATTTGACAAATACATCAAGGATGTATAAATAAATGTAATGTATCATAAATGTAATGTATCATAAATCTCCTGGAAAGAACTCGAGCGTGAACATGATTTTCTGCATAATGCCTGTCATGGGTGTTTGCACCGTCGGTTTACATGACGGATGTCGAACAACCTGACCGTTTACTAACTTGACTTGGGACAACTCGACCGTTGAGAGGCCGCAACGCTGATACAGCATACGCATGGCACACCATCCACAGTACACAACTGGTGTGGGCCCACAGACTGAATGTCTTCCAATCTTAGAGTTTTTGGATGTATCTTAAAGATACAAATCTCTGTCTTCTTTTTCCCATTATACGATTTTGATTGACTCGATATCGACACTGAAGTTTCTGGAATGTGTGAGCAGGAATTAATGCAGGAGCTGGCACTGAGAGTTGAAGTTCACCAAAAATTTTTGTTTGTGGATAATTGTTTATAACCTTAATTTCAAAATCTGTTGGTCAACATATTAATCCAGTTATCCAACTTAAGTAATAACTTATAAGTGCAACTGGAATATTGAACTTATTTACTCATTTATTGCTATACTCATCACCCACTTTTTGGGGGGTTTTGTTCAAAAATATTTTACAACAGGCCTACTGATACAGAATTTCGAAAAATTAGGCAAAAAAATTAGGCATACTGCTGTTCAACACATTGGTGAAGATTCTAAATTGCACGCAACAACGACTGGCCACATTGACCAGCGTTAGTTGCCTGACCATGCACGCACACACACTAACGTTGATGCGTCTCACATGAATGTCACTGTACTGGCATGTAGGGAAGGCAGTGCGGCCAGAGAGGCAAACTAGGTGACGAAGCATGACTAAGAAACTAAATTGTTCAAGTTGATTGTAATACAAATGAGCTCTGAGCATACCCCCAGAACTATGGGGTCCAATGTCAATCAACTCCCACGATGCCCACGTTCATGGGAATGGGGCGGATGTCGGACCCCACAGTTGCAGGGGTACTCTGAGCAAGCTCTGATTTCTGTGAAGGTACTTGTACGACTACGAGTTGTCTCGTACACGAAGGTATGAGTTGTCTTTACTGGAGGTACGAGTTGTCCAAGGTGTGACTCGGCAAATGTAAGAAATCATACAATTACAGTATGCTGAGTTAATGGTACGAGTCGTCCATGGTACGAGTTGTCGAAGGTACGAATTGAACTGTTCCCTCTTTAACTGGCAGATACTTTGTCATCCACATGTGGGTGATAAAGTACAGTCAGGGCACTTTCGAAAATGTTCAAATCCCTGGGAATATGTTTTCCATACCAACATCCATCCAGTCGGGCGGTTGTATTCTACATTTCTGCCTCTGCTTCAAGTTGATTGCCATCCACATTGGAACCTGCACTGGCAGTCCAGCGTTGAACGGTCCGATATTGCCCCCGATCAAGAACACTTCGTCATGGGAGAAATTCGGAACAATAGTTACTATCTGTTTTTCGGCTAAAAATTCCACCTCAGACGGATCCATAGTAATAAGAATTTACTTAAATATGGGCCATAACACGTAGAATATTGCCTGATGTACACATGACCGTAAACTTGGACTCAAACTAAATCGTATTACTTTGCGCGCGTAAGCACTGAAATTTGTTTGTGCATGTGACAAGCGTGACCTTTAACATTACAATATTTGGATTTTTATTGTAAATCAAAATAAGGATAAATATATCAAAAAAAATAAAATATTTTGTACCATAGCTTTTTTCAATTAATTAAGTGCTAAATTATCATTTTAAAAAAGGAAAACTAGATAGATATATATAAAAAGAAAATTAAATTTCTGAAAGAGACAGAATATTTCCCATGATGCAACAGCAGCAAATGCGCATCAAATTCAAAACCGGCAAAAAGGACATCGATAGAAAACCGAAATAGTTGTCAGGAGTTGGTGAGGAGTTGTGAGGAGGAAGGAGTGCTTATTCGTTAAATTTTGCTCCTCTTTTCTGAAAAACTGCCCAGTGATGGACGAGTATACAGAGGTAAGGTATCTTTCTAAATTTTAAATAAACTTCAGAACTAATAAAGGCCAAAAAACGTTAAAATCTAGGCCTAGGGCCTAACCATGCATTCTAACGTCATGACCGTAACTCTGATAGTGATAAATTTTTATTTCAGGAACTGTTTTCACAATGTTCACCACTCTCCAATTCCCCTCATAATTTCCTTCAAAACCCTGCCATCTTTTCACAAGATCAACCAGGCACAGTTATTAATTATGATGATGATGTCATACATGAGGCCTATGTACAGGATGTAGGCCTACATTTACAATGGGGTCGTACTAACAGACTAATCAGATCTTGGGCAGAATGTTTCCTGTAAATTAGATCAATTAGCCTAGACTGCTAGAGCAATTTGTATCGAAGTTTTTGGCGGATAAATCATAAAGAGATCGATGTCATCATGGTCATACTCATATGCCGTGTCTGCGAACAGGTTGTACTAATCAGCATCAACACACCGTCAACACATTGATAGTAACGACAACACACCGCCAACACTTACAAAATGCATTGAAAACAGAAAACAGACGTATCGAACTGTAATGTATACGCTTAGGAATAATTTCTTATTAATCAAGTTTACATTTTACAACATTTCAAGGGTGATTTTTCACGCGAAAAAATTGTCTCTGAGCAGCGCTGCTGTTCACCGCCATCTTACCTTCTCACAGCGTTTGGACCGTTCCATGGTTTACTGTATACAGGTGACCCCCTGTAGCATAATGGTATGGTCCGTCTGATCGAGGCAACATGGCCACCGTCTGTTGTGGTTGTGCGGAGGGTGTTATTTTCGTGAAATAAAATGGCTTTTCCCCCCAAATGTCGCCTACTGTTGTTAGCCAAATTGTATTTAGGCATTATATTGCAATCGAATTGCGTTTCTGTTAATTTAGAATGTGATTTAGGTGTGTTGACGGTGTGTTGACGTCGGTCGTACTAATTAATGTCAACACAACGTCAACACGCGTCAACACATGATAGTAACATCATAGTGGAGATGGGCCGGTGTGGGCATGTGAAGGGAGGGGGTTGTTAACTATTTTTCAAGACCTCAAGGTGTGTGCATAGCAAACTGCAATTATTTTGTGCATAGGCCTAAATATGGATGAGGATTTTGACTGAAAAGCTTAAAATTCATATTTTCTTTATACTGTTATCTTTGTTTTTAACTTCTTTCAATTAATAAACTGTTGACTACAGTTAAAATTTTCAGTGATTCAGTGTGAAAGTACTGTTACTAGACCTACATTTACGTGTACTTCTTGACCAATACTACACACATGTAGGGCTACATGCATGTAGCAGGATTCCAAATAAAGTGAAAGAATTATTGAATAAAAACCCTCCAGTACCATAAATCACCAACAGAAGTCTGGATAAACCTTCCTGAAATTTAATGCGGTGTTTACTGTATCGCAACACAGATGACTTTTCAAATTTTGAGGTGGGGGGAAAAAAATGTAGAGGTTGCATTGTCTGGGCAAATCATCAACGTTACCATCAGTCTAATATTCATATTGCCTACTGAGCCGAATAAAACGTCTGACGTCTGTTAAACTGCTGTAGGCTTGTTTGTGCACATGTACCTTAACGCATAAAGCTGTCTTTAGCTACTCACACTCCCCAGAGCAGAAAGACTGGTAGTGGAATAGAGTGGCAATGCAATGCAGTGGGTGAAGTGACAGTTGGGCAAAGTGGAGACAGGGGGGGTTGAGCGAAGTTGACCCTAAATCGCCAGACAACATTTTAACCACAGAGTAAAAAAAAAAAACCAGTCAATCACATCAGTGGACTGTTGATAAAGATTCCAAGGACAAAAGAAGGATAAACTGGTCTTCGGTTTGTGATACTTCCAATGCTTGCATTTTGGAATGTTATGAATAAGCACGCATGTACATACAAAATAATAAAGAAGGTTAGGGGGGAAAATACCCCAAGACTCCAGCATTTGAACCTATGATCCGATCATACAAGATACCACCACTATCCACATGGACACCTCAATACAAGTAACTTGTACACATAAGAAGTAAAACCTTGATTTTAACATTAGTTAAAAGTGATATCAAGGTACATGTACAATGTATGATGCATGTGTAATATTTCTACCATTTCATGTACTGTAGCTTTGCACAACCAGGAAACTGTGATGGTTCAATTAAAAACCATTGAGTTGAGCATAGCCCAATGGTGTGGTTGTTTCCTTCATTGTTTCTCAGAGACTTCTGGAGAGGACGCGGGCGAGGAGTGAAAACTTGGCTAAGAAGATGAACCAATCCCAGGTGTCACCCCGCAAGAGGAGAACTCCACTGACAGACATGAACTCCTCGGACAGTGACGAGAAGAAAGTCCGATTTGACGGTCAGTGTCAGGCAAAAGCCAGCTGCCTTTAAATGCATCCATTCCAAAGTCCTAGGAGATCATGTATAGTGTTCAATTTGTTGGTAGCGATGTGACTGTGACGCGTGCATTTCTTAGTCGTTCGTGAACCCTTCCAGCGAAGTTCAGTTCTGACCAAAAGAGCCGCTGTTGTTAAGAAAATAGTACCCTCTCTTGGTCCAGCTTGAGGCCCATCCTGCAATTAAAATGTCACATGCAGAGATTTTGACACTAAGTTTTGGAATAAACACAACAACAGGCAGCAGACGGCATACTATAGGCCAACAGCCAATGGTACAGGAATTATGGTGAAAACAATTTTTTTTTAAACTTAATTCAAAGACGTGTACATGTATGTAAATTAGATTCTTGACGTGTCTCATCTAGCCACCTTCCCACCTGATCTGAGGACAGGCAAACACCATTTTGGACAGGAAGTTGTTAAGGGCAAAATTTTAATACAAGCCCCTATTAATTACATGAATCTTGAACACGGGTGAATAAATCCTCAAGTAACAGGTATCTTCCAAAATATTAGGTACATGTACAATGGAAATATGACCTCAAATTGTACCTACCGTAGGGGTTTCAAAAACCTATTGGGAGTGGACAGGTACTTGTAATTCTTAACCTTGGCTTGGAAAGGACAGGCCAATACATGTACATATCCTTCAGTACTAGATGAAACCCTGCTTGGCATGTGGGTACATGTATGGCCTATGATTACAATTGGTTTGTGTTCAAGTTTTTCTGAATCGCCGGCCTGAAATGGAAGGGGGAGGGAGGCCTCATAGGACACAGAGAGATACTTGTGTTTGCCACCCCACTATTGTTACTTTCAAATGCCTGAGCTTTCTCTTTCAATGTACTGGTACAGACTCCCCAGTGAAGTCTGCACTGCAGAGCAGCGAAGTGAAGCCAGACACACCCGCTATCCCCTCCATCCGGTCACGCATGAGTAAGCTGGCTGATATGAGAAGGGAGTGGTCAGCCGCAGGTGAGTAGACCCACAAACCTCCAGTTGTGATCCCACCATACAAGCCCAAACCTGGTGAAATTTTTCCACTCAAAGCCAGTATTGGAGCGCCGGGGCCATCACTCCTTATGGATTGATGTCCAGCATCTGATTCTTGTTGGGAAATCCAGTGGCCATCCATGATGGGACAATTTCTTGAAAATATGAGTGCTAACCCACATGCGCGGTAATAGTTTTATTGGCCTCCTGCATTAAGTCCTTAAATTCATCCTGAATGACAGTTAACTACATGTATATGTAGCATGCAGCCTTCATGTTATGTGTTGTCTTCACAGACGGGTCGGAGCTCGACTCTCCCCAGAATGTGTCAGCACCACGGCCGCGGCAGCAGGAGGATGCACAACAGCAGCAGCCCAGCGGCAGCTCCATGCCCAGCACTAGGAAGAGCAGGTTTGCTGCCCTGGCAGCCAGCATCAACAGCTGGGAGGACGACCTGGACCACCCTAAACATCACTTCCAACACGAGGTGAGAAAATACCGCGCTGCAGGAAGGGTAGATTGTTCGGACCTGGATAACTTTTTGTCTGCCGTATATCAACATCGCATGAGCTATCCTTGATTAGTCTACTTCAGGATTTTAGCCAGAGAGGTGTGTTGTCTTTTGCACACTCTGAGGCCTGCAGTAGGCCATTTTGTCGCCCCTATTTTGTTATGGCAATGCATTTGAAAAGTGCAATATCCTAACAACTTTGACATCAGGCCTGTGTTTCCTTTCAAGGCATATATTTGGACCCCCAGGTTTCAACTACTGGCAAAATTTCCACTTTACTTTTGCAACATTTGCCTTGGCATATGCACTCTTGTTTTATCGACAAGGTAGTTAACTGGAAAGTATTATTATACCCAATGTTGTAGTCGAGACCATCACAAAACCAGTCACAAGTAACACGGTGAAAATGACAAAAGAATGCTTTTATTGCAGTTCATTTGAATAGCTTGTGACTTGAATTCAGACTGGAAGTCTTGTGTTGGTCTTGTGAAGGTCTTAAGTGGTCTCGACTGCAACACTGCTTGTGCCACTCTCTACAGTGAATGCTAGAAAAAAAACACATGAAGATTTTGCTTGAAATGCCTACTTTAATGCTTTGATCTCAATTTTAAATATGGATGATTGAATTTAAAAAGGAAACAATTCTATCCTCAGGAGAAGCCATCAACACGTAAATGGGAGCGTCCTAAACCAGTTGAGGAAGTAAGTGATGACCATCTGCCAGCAAAGCAAGGTAACGGAATCTTGTCAGTTACACCCAAAAAGCCAGCCCGCAGTGTGAGGTTTGAGGACCAGGAGGATCACAAGCCAGCAGCTTTTGGAAACGGGCAGGGTAAGGCCCAGATGAGATCACTCCCAACAAGCAGCAGCCCTGCCAGGGAGAAAAACACCTCGGGGGAAGACTCCAAGTCGGCAAAACCAGGAGGCAAGGCTGAGCTTAGATCTCTTCCAACTGGTAGCCCTGCCAAGGTCAGTGCGTACTCCAGGCTGGTAGAGCAGAAACAGGAGGTGGGAAAATCCTCCGTGGGCTCGCCCTCCAAGTCTACCTCAGGAGGCACCCCGGCCAGGAAACGGATCCAGGTGTCCCTGTCTCGGGAGAGAGAGCCCTCCCGACTGGAAGTACAGAAGCACTTTGCCCAAGAGCAGCAACAGCCAACTCCTAAACCCAGAGCAGGACCACCCACCACTACCATCAGCTCTACTAATGTCACCTCCACAACTCAGTCTTCTACCAAGCGGCCTGCACCACAGCCAGACCAAGCCAAAAAGAAACAGGCAGTGGCATCATCTGGAGCAAGCACCAACCAGGCTTCGGTCAAGGAGGGAGTCACTGATGTCAAGGCGTACTTTGGGAGGCACAAGACGGCCACCGCTCCAGCCACGACCCCCAATAAAGTGGAGCCACGTGTGAGTGCCATGGCCAAGTCCATCCAGGACAGACTTCGTCAACACCAGGAGAATTGGCAAAGCAACGATATCAATAAAAAGATCCAGGTAAATGCTGAATTTGCAGAGGGTTATGTCAACAAAGCTGTATCAGACACATGGATGCCAGTCTTTGCAGAGATAGTTCAACCCTAACAGTCGTCCTTAATCCTCCGATTACAATATGACTTTACATACACCCTAGGGGGGTTAGAGTTGAAGAAACATTTTGTAAGCAAAATCCACATATTTTTACATGTGAAAGTCAGCCAAAACAGAATTTGACATAACTACTTAATGACCTGTGTGAAGTGCTTGTTCAACACATTTTATATCCAATTTAGAATAAGTGCTTGCATGACTTTAGAGTTCAAATATTAACCTATCAACGCCCCGTTTACACCAAAAAAAACAATCTGTTATTGTTTCAGGAGCAAAGAAAGAAAGAGTTAGAAATCATCAAACAGAGGTGGAACCATTCTGGCAAGACTGAGCCTGCCAAGCAGGAGACAGAGAAAGAACAACCCACTGTAAGAGCGTGTTATCTGCTCAGTTGAGGCAGGAATGTGGAATGCAGCGTCATCCAATCTCTAGAAGTGGTCTGGTGGCTAATACCAAGTTTTGCTTGTCTTCCACCGCCTTTAAAAAGTAGCTGCCAAGCTTTAAAATCTGGCTGCCGGGTTGAAAATGTTGGCTGCATTGACATTCTGGAATATTTTGATACAATAATATCTTGATGAAGAGAACTTCTTATAAGGCTGAATGTTCAGCCACAATGATTTGTGCAAGTTTGTCATACATTTCGTATCATTAGGCTTGGCAAACAAACCTGTGAACTGGTTAGTTTGTTGAGTGAATCACATGCTTATGGTAACATCCTGCATTCTACTTTCACAGTCTTCCAATGCGTTGATGTGTGTGTAAATTTCTGAATTTGCATATTATCTAAAATATTAAACTCAGTTTCTATTGTAATTAACCACATGGCACTCATTCAAATAAAATGTTGTTTAAGTTTGGTTTGTTTTTATTCGGAGCAATCTATACTTCTGCCACAGACATCAACCCTGGCCTCTGTGTAAATCACTCATTTTTCTTCAGACCAACGTAAAATATTTGTGAAAATCGTAAAAAGATGTGACAAGTTTGATTTTTGTTTTCTTTTGCTGAATTCGACAGCCTATGCCCAGGGTGACCATCACTCGCTCTGTACCAGAGCCTGAGGCAAATGAAGACGAATTGGATAACCAGATGGAGGTCAGTGAGGACACTATCAACATCGGCATGGTCGAATCGCCAACAAGCAAGTCTTTGTCATCATCTGATGAAGAAGAGGCAGAAAAGACGATTGAAGAGGAGCCCACAGAGGTACTCCAAAAACGGATGACCGGTGAGGCCTCCTGTCAGGAAAAAGAACAGGCCACCCCACTACCCCCTCCCAGAGAGAAGGTCATAGCCAAGGCTAGTACCCAGCAGCCAGAAGAGACTGTTTCTACTAGCACTCCCCAGGCACCACCTAGACCTCGCAGGACAAACAGCAAACTCCTTGCTGAGGAGGAAGCCAGTGAGTTGAAACCCTGTTTGGCCTCCCAATCTCTTGGATTCTTTTGATTGTCACAGCTTTCTGTTCAGGCATTGTTTGTATTCTTATTTACGATTATACCACACGATGCTCGTCACAGCAGCCAAACATGATTGTTTTCTACATGCCACCACCGCAGATCGACCCATGTCAGTTTTCTCAGTGTCAGCAAGTCTTAAAAAAGTGCACCCTTGTGAGAGGTTTTTTAGCTGGGTCTGGTTTGCTTTATTTTGTTTCGTTTTGGGTTTTTTAGTAAATAAAAAAGATGTTACTATTTCTTGTTCTACACGTCCAATGCAAAGCACTCATAGAAAGAGGAGCATATAAACCCAGTGATCTGGAAGACAGTTATGTCATTTTTCTTTCTTTTTTCAGAAGCCCAGCAAGAATCTGTGTCCAAACATCCCCAGCAAGAAGAGGACGATGATGACGATGCTGATGACGAATATGATGATGATGATGATGATGTTCAGGAGCTGAACATCACTGATGTTCTGGGGGATATTGACGACCTTCTGAATGAGGCAGAGCAAGCTATGGAGGTAGAGAAAAAGGCTGGGAACCCCACCCCATCCCAGAGACAGGAACAGGTGGGCACTATACTTTTACTGATAGAGACACTGCACACCGCACACAATTTAAAATTTAAGACATTTGTATGCAAAAGTTGCTTTCATATTTCCCCCTCCCCACTCTACCCTTCACAGTCTTGGGCTTTCTTCCACATCTCAGATCTGTCTCTGTTTTTATCTTCATGTTGGGCTCCTCAGTTTTCCAGCTATTTCAGGTGGATCCATGAACTTTAAAGATTCTGACTTAGTTTCATATCAAGCAGTTGGCTCCATATCAGACTGTCTCAGAAAATGAAGCTTTGATGAGCCAGGGTGTTTCAACTATAGACTAAATTTGTGAACCTTTCGCTTGAAGGTCAAGATGCAGATAAAGCTAAGATATGGGAAATGAAAACAATATTCAAACTTCTGAGAAATAAAAAACTCAATCAGCATGTAAGCTCCAAAAGAAAGAATGTTGGTTTTCTTCAGCAAAACTTGTTGACTAAATTCAAATAAAAAATTGAAATTCCTAAAGAATTTTACTCATCCATGCCTATATTTTTCCTAACCACCAATTAGCCGGCCAAACCGCAGGCCCTAGTCCAGAAGCCTCCTACTGGGAATGCCTCTCAACCCAAGCCCGGCGCCGTGACCCCCCAGTCTCCCAATCTGTACAGCATTGAATCCTTCCGTAAACAAGGCCCCAAGTCACCGGCAGCCACCAAGACCATCATCAGGAGCAAAAGCGGCACTGTGGGACCCGGGGAGGGAGTTGTACCCATGGTACTCAAGCCCATTCCCATCAAGGAACAGATACAGGTCTCTTAAGCAGTTTACAGCTTTGACTCGATAGACCTGTATCATGATGTTGCCATGATTGTCTCGCTCCCTGTAGACCCACTGGCAATGGTAGAACGAGTTCACATATTGATAAAAGGGAACAGATTATTTTCCCTTCCAGCTTCAGTTTGGTTACATTGTTTTGAAGGGTAGAAAAGCAAGATGGCTGCCCCATGATAGAGGTCTATAGTCCTTGATCTACTATGCCCTCCAAAGTGCTTCAACATGTACCGATACATGTAAGTCATTGAAGTATCAGTCAGAGATATAAAAATATTATGTCAACCAATCTTGGGATTTAAGTTGCACTCATGAAGTTCCAGAGATGCCAACTTGTAAGATTTAGGCGTGATTTTTACGATTTGCTTAGTCCGTTTACGACTGTACAATCCAGACTAAGATTTTTACGATTTCCAACTTGAAGGTACAAAACCATACAGTTGTGTATCAACTCTACGTAACTTAGCACTGAGCCAGCCTCGTAATGCGCGCGTCGGAAATGTGTCGCAGGTATGCCGCTGTTTGTGCATACAAGCTGCGTGAGTTGCAGTAGAAACCAGTGTGGTTGAATCATCCATTCACCCCAATTAACACTATGATGAACAGGGGTCGAATAGGCAGGATTGCTCTTCATATGTTATGTGATTGCGTAAGTCAAAGCATTGTACATGTACCGATATCGTACACACCTGTGTCGAACATCATGATCGTGTTGAAAGTTAACTAGAAAGGAGGACTGTCGGATTTGATTCTTGGATATTTGTTGAGCAATTGGACTTGCTTTGCACAATGTCAATAAGTGAACTGAAGTTCAGGGACGAATACACCACAAAAATGGCCCTTTCTTGCAAAGTCTTGTTGTGGAGAAGCTTACGTGTTTCGCAACGCATGTAACTGTGACATGATAAAAATTGCCCACGCTGGATCTTACGACAACGAGAAGCATGTTAGTTAGGCCAAGAAAAAATAGTTTTGCTTCTAATTAAATTGGATCTGCGGGTAAGGTTTTTTACCATTTTTGTGCTCATTGAATGGGATGAAAGTTGCCAAAAATTGCCACAAAAGGGATTAAAAAAAACTTACCAGAATTAATGTTGAAATATAATCAACAATTAATTACAATGCACACCTGCATAATGCTAGTCAGGTAAATACAAGTGTTTTCACATGAAAAAGAAGTTGGTGACAGGTGTTTGTTTTGAAAGAAAAGACAACAAGATTTTTAAAAACTTTAAAAAAAAGGTTTTCTAATTTGCCGATGAAAATTAGGGTCGGTCTAGAAACTGGAAGTGCGATAGGCTTACACTTTTTCATTTTGAAAAGTTGGCATCTTGAAGTTCTTCACTTGCTCTTGTAACTGAAAACAAACTGTGGACAAGCATTTAGGAAGTTTCCTCAAAATCAGTGGTTCGTGATGTTTGCACAAAACAATTGTTTCGAGAAAAACAGAAACATTTGCAAAATATTGCCTAGTTTGAAAGGGAAACCAAGATGAAGTCTAACTTTTGACAGCATTCACATTTTAAGTTTTGGTTTTGTGAATGCGGCCTGTAACTTGCCAAGGTGTAGATGTTGCAAATCAGAAAAAAAAAGTCTGGTCAATTTTTGTTCCATGTGTTATTGACCACAGACCCTGACGGAAGAAGTGTCTACACAGCAGAGTATCATCTATCAGACCAGCCAAGCCCTCAACCTGATTGCATCCAATGCAGAGTACAGGGGCTCCAGGCAGGAAGTAGAGGCAGAAAGATTGCTTCTCATTGCTGGTGGGTACACTGACAACTATGGGGGTCGAGGCTCATTCGTCCTGCCAGTCAGCCATTCGGACTATCCGTGCCCTCCACTCGGAGGGTATTGAAGGGTGTGATACAGTCCATCAGTGTGATATTGTTGCAATTCAAGCCATGTCTTTCCACTCGGTGTAGTATTGGAACCAATGGATCTGGAAGTTGTAAAGAGTGAGGAATCCATCCAATGAGCGCTAGTTATCAGTGCAAATGACAGTCTCTCGAGAACTACGTAAAGACTCCAAATTGAGTAATTTGGAGAGTGTTCATAGGTTTTTCAGACTAAAGTTAGTACTTTAAACCAGTGTGTTCTAAGTCCCACCCACTCACTACCGTGTGAAAAGGAATGTGGATTTTCATTGCACTTTGCCATTTCTTCCTTCCTGTTGACTACAGCTCAGAGACGCCAAGCCTGCCTGGCAGAAATCCAACGGCTGAAGACACCAATGAGTGCCCGCGAGTCCAACATGGTGCAGACCTCAGAGGGTGAAATCATGCGGCCCTGCAAGGGCTTTGTCACCATACAAGACATCAGGCTGCCGCTCAAGACAGAATATATCCTGTCCTCCAAGCAAGGTATGCGCACACATTGTGAATGCCAGTTTACATCACTGCAAAACATGTTCGCAACGAAACTTTGCAGATTTCTGCCAGTATCCAAGATACTGTATTTGCTGACAACTGAATTTGACTATTTGGTTGAAACTGTCCATTTTTGTGAAGTGCATTAAATGTCAACGAAAACATGGGCTAAAATATTTCTGTTCTTTTTCTGCCTGTTCATAAATTTGTCTCTACCCACGCCATTCTACTCATCCGATCATGACTGAGATCTAATTATCAGCTGTAAACCCCCCCCCCCTTAATTTTCCTTCCTCCCTACAGATCGCATGTGTCATTCTTTCTTCCTGCTCCTGCGCTGCAGAGAGCACGTCCTAGCCACTCGTATTCAGACCACAGTGGATGGTGTTGCTGGCGACTGCCTGCCATTCAGTAACATCGCCAAATTGTAAGCTGAATCAATTCCACAGAAACTTCACCAATCAACCTGTTTTTTCCTGTTTAATAATCATTGGCTTTTATTTCAATATTCAATGTTTGTGGGGTTTTTTTCAACGTTAGAAGATCATTACAGATTACCTTGAACTAATTGTCTAGATACTTGTCGCAAGCATTTTTCATTTGTAGTTGATTTTGGTGCAGTTAAATTATTCACTAATTTAAGCATTATTCAGTAGTCAACACAATTTTGATGTTTGATTGTCAGCATTTCAAAAGTCTCATATTGACAGCAGTCCGACTGGAAGAAAGCCTTCTGTTGGTGAAGTTTCAGAATGCATTGCTCCCAAGTTCTTTGACTTCAGCGTCATTTCATGTCACATTTCTCCTTACCATTTCTTGGCCTCGTGCAGCAACAACCTTGACAGCGACTTTGTGATTGAGGCCTTCGTCTTTGAGATGCAGAACAAGAGGCCCAAGGTGGAGGACAAGAGCAAGCAGACGTTCCTCTCCAGCCTGACCCCCAAGAAGCTCCTCGCCAACATGTCCAAGGACTCCAGGGTGAGTTGCAAAGGCTTCCATCATATCTGCTATCTACAATCTGCTATCTGCAGCCAAACTCAATAGAACCTCACAACTACAAAACCGTGATGTATTCTGGCAAAACCAATCTCGTCTGGGCAGTTTACCAAATATGTAACATAGAATCCTGAAGAAGCAGAGTAACTGCCAGAAGCTTTTGCACTTTTTATTCAATTGCAGGTTGGATCATAAATTTAAAAAACAAGTGAAAACCACCCCAAGTTTCAAAGTTGCCTGTTCATATCAATCCCTTCCCAGAAGTGTCTGGTTTTATCAGAACACATTTCAAATCAGCAATTTCACCCCCCCCCCCAAAAAAAATAGGAAACAAGAAATTAAATGTATGGACTCGGGATATGCAGATTTGGAGCCTACCTCACAAGACCTGGTTGGATGAACACATTGGCACATAGTGGGTACACTGGTTTGCATTTGCAAAGTGAAAGAAGCCAATTTGTGACTTAATTTGCACAACTGAGTGACGTCTTTACCTAAGGTGCATGGAATTATAAGTAAGGGTGCAGGTAATATTTGGTCCAAATGCACAGCTAAAATTATCGAAATAAGTCGACTGTGGCATTGTTTGAGAGTAGCACAGATCGGAGGAGGAAGTGATAGTGTATCCCTAGTTGCATCTTTTTTTTTTTTTCTTCTTTTTTTTTCTCTCTCTGCTGTTTATTTTTGCAGCAAAGTGTCAAGGCCCCCATTGCTCCCAGCCCTGGTGGTCCAGGCTCTGTCCGTGCCAGCAGCTTCACCTTGGTGGGTGCTACCAGACTGACCCTTCAGAGCTGCAGGGTCAACAGGTTCATGCTAAGCAAGGTAGGTGGAGTTGTGTGGATTCTGCCTGTGCACATTATGGTGTTTTTGGTGCCATCTTATTTTATCTATTCAGATTTCTTCAAAATAGAAGTGTGTGAGTACATGCATAATTGGCCACTCACAACAGCATTGACCGTTCCTGTACCTTGTTTGCCAAGAAGTTTTATTTCCTTAATTATCCATTTGTTGCTAAATATTGTTGCCAGAAGTTCGTCCATAGTCAAGGACTACAAAGTCAATCTTCCCAAGGGGACGATTGAAATTTTTTTTTAATAGACCCCTTTTAAATTTAACTTCAACTTCATCTGTGGCACCGGACATTACAGACACCATTCATTTTTTGGGCATATCTCATCACTGATTGATTGATTGATTGATTGGGTATGCTAAACAAACTGTACTGCAGTGACTGTTTATGGCCCTCACTGAAGTGTGTACAAGGTAATCACCAATGTGAAAGCCATAAGTAACTGAGGCCTTCACTTAGGCACCATTTTAGAATTCTTATCAGGTAGGTGTTGGACAAAATGGACCAACCGATACATTTATTATCGGTTGGCTATCAGAGTAAGTGTTATCAAGTGGCCGATTCTAACTGATAAATGCCCTTTTATTGCATTACTCCCAAGGCTATGTGGTTTCAGTGAAGCAACACCCCCTCCATTATTCACGCAACATAAGTCAGTTTTAGCGGTGGGATTGCCCTGTCCTATAGTCAACCGAGAGGAATTTTGAAATAATGCCTTAACTAACAGCTATCCCACTGTGTGTTTGGTTGTGTTTTAGGTTCCATTCAACTCGCCCCTTGAGGGTACTGTTCACCTGAAGATGTCATGCCACACCAATGCCAATGTTATTGAGCATGGCTGGCTGACTATGTTTGATGATATCAGTGGCTTTGGAGCTTGGCACAGGCGCTGGTGTGTGCTGAGTGGCGGGTACATATCCTATTGGAAGTACCCTGATGATGAGAATCGCAAAGTGAGTTCACTCACCTGCTTTACTCCTGTGCCCATTTCTGTATGCTTCGGTGTGATATGTGTTGTTTTGTACATCCAAGGGAGAAGATTGGTTGAGCAGTGTTTTAACAAGAGGGGTGTCTGGACGTCTTTCAGACAACCCATTATGGATGCCTTGTTTTGCTACACAAATGCATATAATTGTAATAAAAGCATACAACCTGGAGATGTTGGATGTGGAATTTTTCACTCCATCGTGAAAAGGGCGAACTTCCTTTTCCTGTTGCTGGCTACAAACTTCATTTTCCTGTTGCTGGCTACAAACTTCATTTTCCTTTTGCTGGCTACAACCTTCATTTTCCTTTTGCTGGCTACAACCTTTTGATGTGGAGTATGGATAATTAAAGTCTGACCAAACAATTTTTGTTCAAATTGAGTAGAAAGCATGTAGTTTTAAGATTTCTCAAAATCACTGAGCAAACAATGTAAACCCTAGTTGGAGGTTTTTGTATCTTACTGTTGGGCTTTGCCATACAGACTAACACAAGTTCATTGTCCTGTAAATTACTCTGCAGTACAACGAAAGTTTGACATCCAAAGAAATTGTGTTCAACTTTTGTACATTGGCAAGAGGCAAAATTCACACTTTGTAAGCCTTCTCAAAGTTCAATGTCCTTTTGCTCGTCTTTCTTTCTGCCAGGCCCCCAATGGTACCATTGACTTGAGGCAATGCGTCACTAATGAAGTAGCTCCTATCTCCCGCATTCTCTGTGCTCGACCCAACACCTTTGAGCTGGTAACCCGCCAGCCGGCCTCCAAAGCCATGCACCACGGCAAGGACACGCTGGTCACCAAGCACGAAGACTGCGCAGTCACCACCAAGTGAGTTCAAGTTCCAATTTTCTGTATTCTCCTGAATCCTTGTCAAATTCACATTTAATCCATGCTCACATTGCCCATTTTCTTTCAGCATTAGTTACCCAAATCAAAAGGTTTGAATTGCTGTGCCGGTGCTTTGAATCCTTGCTTTGATGTGTAAATATCAAGAGAAACAATAACACCAGCAGTTCAATAAATTAAATTCATTGAAAATTCATGTCCTGAATGAGAGCATTTTCATTATAAGTTTGTTTCAGGAGAGCTGCTTCCAAAGATTTTGTTAACATTTTTTACTGGATCTGAAATAGAATGTAAAATGTTCCCCCAAAGAAACGTTTATGTGCATGCTCATAGGTGACATACATACATGTCATTACAGAGATACCCACAATTCTAGTAGGCTTGGCATTAAAAAAATCTTTGAAGAGGTCATGATTAATCAGTGGCCACAGCTTTGTGAAGGCTTTCATCCAAAGTTCTACATGTGACTTTTGCTTCCCCCCCCACCCTTCCCTCTTCCCACAGGCATATGCTGTCAGCAGATGTCAAGGAAGACCGTATCCGATGGATCAACGCTCTCAACAAAACACTCCTGGATCTGAGAACATGGTGCCGAGAAGCTGCAAGGCTGGGCCCTTCTCAGTAAAGTACTCCGACTGAGCACTTCAGGAAAATGATTCAGCTCAATCTAGGTAATTATTTGCCACAAAACAGTCCCGTTTCAGGTACTTAACAGTTGAGCTAAGTTACTACTGAAGCTTCTTTAACTGGACCTATTCCAGTATAATTACTAACCATAGTTTAGCTGAACTTTATATCCACCGATGCAAAGACCATAGGTTTTTGTTCTTCGCTTTTTAAAATAGTTGGCAAACTGCCAGAAGGCAAGTGTGTCAAGCCTGCAAGTTGACGGGAAATATTTCAATTTTGTTAAACAAAACTAGTCAAGTAAAAGAAGCTGGAATCAAAGAGCAAAGCATTCAAACACTGTACCAAAAGACAAAACGAAATAGCAATGCCCATAGCTCTAAAGGCTACAGATAATGTTGTGTTGGGCGAGAACAAGTGGAATTTAAACTGCATATACATGAGATCAGTGTGGTATGCTGCTTTCATCGGGAAATGGGAATCACTTGGCAGAGTCTCACGTGCGTAATATTTTATTTTGCTTATCTTACTAGTATGTGTTATAATTCACTTCATATTTTACTTTGGAGCTGCAGAGATGAAGAAGGATTCAATTATGTATCTCAACTAGTACTTAAATAGTTCATTGTAGTCAACATTAACAGCACCATACTCCTTTTTTAAATCTCCAAAAGCAGTCACTTTTAACAAGCATGAAATTTCATCCTGCATTCATTTTGTTGTCCGATGTTGCTTTCTTAACATTCTTAAGAGTTGCTCAGAGCTTACAGATACTTTGCTGGACATGTGAGTGATTCTTATTTGTTGACAAGAGACTAGTAGACTTGTAGATCAGCATAAAGAAATTAGTCAAAAAGGATTATTTGTAATCACCAGTGTATAATCATATCTTCAGCTATTTTTTCCCTCGCCAAGTTTGCCCACTTTTCAAGAAGTTTTTGCTTATTCATTTCCCTGGTTATTTATGTCACCATCACAATTGTCATTAAAATAAAGTGATTGTCTTGTAATTAGTTTACTTATTTCAAATATATTTATAAATTTATATATTCATTTAGCTGATGACAGAACTTAATATGCAAATTTTATTTCATGGTAGTATGTTTATTGGAATCATATGTATGTGCTTACAGTTTTTTTAATATTATGAGCTTGTTTTCCATCAATACATGTATGTACGTTAGAATACTTGTGTTTTCTGTTCCTGAAGAGGAGTAAATTTAATAATGGAATCTTTTTCCTAGTTGGCTCATCGGTCTCATAATTAAATTCCTAGCATTCTTTTATAACCAATTGTACATACATGAAGCATGTAAAAGTAGTCTGTGAAGGTGGTAACTTTACAATTATTTTGAATCTCTGCATTTACACGTTTATATTCTGCGCTGTTGTAACTTGCTTAGGTTGAAATGTGAAATTGAAATCAAACCGTAATGCGAAAAAGGGGTAGGGAAATGCAATAAATTGTAATGAGTTTGGTGTACATGTATACTGTAATACAGTATTGTCTAAGTTTGCATCCTGGCATATTTCATATTTGACATCCAACATATTTCACCTTTAAAAGTACAAAATGATTTGCTGTGTTTTTCCCCCCTCATTCAGGCATGCAAATGGACCCAAATTTTCTCACACATTTCTTAACATGCTTTGAGGTTTACATTTCACACCAGCCACTAGTATATGGTTTTGTACATTTAATCCAAATAATGCATTTCAAATTCTCATTCATATTGAAAAATTTTATACCGTAAATTCGATTCTCATGACTCTAACCTCATTCGGGTATTGAATTGCAAGTACACACATGTACATGTATTCCCACATTTATGTACATGTACTCAAAGTAACCTTAAAACTGCATTATTACTAAATATTCGTTGTACTGCAAGTATGTGCATAATGTCACTATTCAATTAACTTGAAGTTTTCAAAAAGTTAGTGAATAGTGCACATTTAGACAACCTGTTAAATGACAGGTTAAAGGAACATTCCATCATACCACTCACTGGACATTATTTTTGAAAACAGAACTCTGAAATGCAGAAATGCCCACACCAATAATTATAACAAAAAACATTCAAAACAGATTGTTTACACAACCTTGCATTTCAGAAATCACATAACTTACCAAGACATAACCTTTAAATTATTGAAATATCCACTGGAAGGAAAGAACTTGGACATTGGAACACTTATCACTCAGAAGTTGTGATAGTGACCGTATTAGCAACGGATATGTCAGGACTTGGACTGTGGTCAACTTTGAAATCCTCCAGGTTTGATGAGTCCACTACCACATCTGGCTGAGGTTCTTGGTCTGATTTGAGATCTGGTTTTAGTTCAGACTCTAGATCTGGTTCTAGTTGTGGTTCAAATTCTGTCTCAACAATCACTTCAGTGTTGTAGTCGATTTGACCAGGACTCTGTAGCTGTAGTTCCTCCTCCACCTCTGAGCCGGACTCCGACTCAACCTCTGAATCGCTGTCTGAGTCTCCCTCACTCTCTGAGTCTGACATCTCGTAACTTGACAGCATGGAGTGGAAGGCTTCGTACTCTATGCTTGCGCTGGCTGTCGCCTTATCCAGTCTGGTTCCCAGCAGTTGCGGGTTGCTAGTCACCATCTTGACCCGGGGGTTCCGCTTGACAAACTGCCGGTACCACTTGTTGCCTGGCATGTTCTTTTTCAGCATGGTGGTACGCTTGTCCTTGTCCAGGATCTTCTTGACAGTCTTGAGTAGCTTCTGCTTCTTGAAGCCGTAGCCCCGCTGTGCCATGCTGATGATCCACTCGGTAAGCATCTGCTCCTCTGCTCTGGACAGGATGGATGGTGGGCCACTCCGTCTGCCCAGCTCCACTCGGCCAGACACCCGGTCAGCTAACGTTGAGCGCTTCACGCCCCACTTCTCTGCTGCTTTGCGTATGGTCATCTTCTTTTCAATCACATCCTCCACTGCTCCCTTCATGATTTTAAATCTCTTGTCCAAGTCGACGGACCTACAATTAAACAGAAACAGCAAATTATTAACCTGCAATATCCCAGCGTAAGGAGCGCTGTCCTGTTTTTCATGCATTCAGATTCTGACATTGAATAAGGAGTCCGAATGAAACACTTGGGACTCAAGAACTTGGCTTGAAACCAACGGTCCTTGATACCATATGGAAGTACATCAATGCCCTGGCTATTACACTTGGGACAAGGCTGGTCCATGGAATAGACACTTGAACACACGTAAACCTTTTTACTCTTCGCAATGCATCACTTGATTGGATGACAAACAAGTATTGCACTTTATGCACAATCCTATGGAGGAAAAAAAATAATCAGTTTCCACTGAAATTCTTGCCATCAAGCAATCCTCTTTCATCAGTGTCATCAACTGAAGCCCCAATCCATGTCAGTAGTCTTTCCAACACAAATTGTGTTATGGAGAGACATTTTATAAATTTTTCCGTCTGTCTTTTGATGTCCGGCACTAGATGCATGACCACAATTGATTGATCATCTGAGTTCACTGGCCCACCGCGGTGCGGCTGCCCGTGCGCGAGATGGAATATTGTGATTAGATAGCTACATGTATGTCTCGCAAAATGCACATCATGTCAGCACACAATTTCATTGGCAGGCATACTAGTTCCTTTAGTAGCAATATGAATAATTCAGAGTTGAGAAAAGTTGGGCTGTTAAGAAAAGTAATCAAGCGAACTTATTAGGGGTGTATTTTTATTGGAAGTGGGAAGGGATTTTTTGTTCTGGCATTGCGCATTGGATCGACAGTTGCATCGACAAATTTGGCACATTGTGATTGGCCGACGCATTGCAAACCCTTAAGGCGCACTACTGTGAAAGAATCTGGGTCATCTCGTACCTGGGACAACTCGTACTCAGGTCAACTCGCGCCCCAGTCAACTCTTACGCCAGTCAACTCGTGCCTAAGTCAATTCGTACCCTTGCATGTATTATTGTCATCGGTGGATAATCCTACCAATGGCTGCTTTGCATGCAAAGAATCAACTTTTTAATTAATTTTAATTTATTGAAATTTACGTCATACAATCTTCTCCTTCACTTGAAAAAACCCTTGTACGTTGGGCTACTGTGCTAACCAAAGCTTGTCGCATGCCGGAGCGCTAGCACTGCACCGGCGTGGCCCAGCTTCCGGAGCTGCCTTTGATTGAACACAAGTCCTACCCTTATCAGTATCCAATCAAAATTTTTGCATGGCCATTTGTGATATCATTGTCCTAATATGGAACGTAAGGGCGTGGCTACTTGGCAAACATAATGCGAAGTTTGAATATACATACACTGTAAGCACAATTAGATGTAGTGAGAATTTAGAATTGTTGTGCAGTGGAAACGCCCTATGTTGCGTATTCTTGGTTGATTATTTGTGAGATCTCACCACATGCTTTATACAACAATCGCCTGATGCAGGACCATCGTAAGTACCGAGCGTGGGTGCAGCACAACTCGTTACACACTTTTCGTTGTGTTTGCTTTTTTATCACATTTTCTTGCGTGCATTCCGTGCGCTACCAATATTCGAACCGACAAGTTTGGTTGGGTTTGAAAGTGCAATGTTCAACCATTTTTTGTTCGGTTTGGCGGTTCGGCTGTAGCACTATTCTAACATACAGAGTACGAGTTGTTCTGGGTACGAGTTGATGTGGGTACAAGATGATCTGGGTACGAGTTGACTTGGGCGGGAGTTTGGGGGTACGAGTTGACCTGGGTACGAGTTGTCCAGGGTACGAGTTGACCTGATTCCTACAAGTGAAACAGGCTGTATTCCTACAGAAAATTTCTCAACCTTATCCAAGTTTTTATGCATCTTGCACTTGACACAATTCATCTAAAAATTGGCACTTTATGTACGACTTGACATTGTAAACAATATGAATATGGCATATGCTGATGGGCACAAGCACACCGGTGAGTCTAGTCGAGAAGGTAACAGACTACATGCTCAGCCGAAAGTTGTGGCGTACACGCAACAAGGTCCCGTGACCGTATACGCAAACTTACCAGTTTTTCCTCTTCTTTTTAATTGTTATTGTAGTTTTACTCTTCTTCGACCTTTTAGATGAAGATACCACAGGTTCAGATCTAGATTTCGATCGACGTTTACTTTTCCCCATGGTGTATAAAGGTAATTTTACTGGGCCCTAGCTATATCTGTTGGTGCAGCCTGAATCTTACCCGTGCCGGTTTGACACCAGGCTGAAATTGGCACGAAATTCGGGCCAGATTTTCGGCCGGCCTGATTTTCGGCTGGACGCTATTTTTACGGATGCAAGCAACCGTTCACGTGAACGGTTGCTTGCAACCGTAAAAATAGCGTAAATTCTACGGAGGCCGATCACGGCATAGCAGAAAGAGCCCATAAACGTCCACGGACAAATTACAGAAAAAAAACAATGTTTAAATGAATCTTTCGCTGGAATGTATCTTAGCTATGAAATAACGTGACCAACCTGGATCCCAACGTCACCTTTGGCCCTTTTGATCCGAGCAAATTGATAATTTCAGAAACCGTGATTAAAGACAACAAACACGCAACCGTATGTAGCTCGTCTATTTTTTTATTACCACAACGGTCGAGAAAAAAAGCCTGTTAATTATGACAACCGAACCCTGTTACGGCATAAACCCACTGTATAAATATGATACTAGAGACAAAAGCCCCGAAAACATCAAAGGCCGTCAAATCTATTACCAAATACAACAACCTACAGCAAACATACTCGATCGCATAAATTTAGCTGTTTACAGGTTCATCGAATCTCAAGCCGCCATCAAGTCTAATATCCCGTCTAATACCATAAACGCCTACAAAGCCAGTCGCGATATTGATGACCTTAATAAAATAGAGTATGTCGTTAAACCACCTTACACGGCCAAGAACCGAATGTATGTTAAAATAGACCCTCATGCCTCTCTATTTGATCACCGAAAAAGACCCATTGACTCGTCAAACATCGAGAAATTTACCGATAAGAAATGTGACGCTCAGTCTTTTATTTGTCCGAAGATGTATATTATGGTACTTACCGTTCGATGTCATGTGGAGCTGGTGTTAGGTATGAAGTGTCAGCGGCTATGTTGAGAGTAAGAAAGGAAGGTCCGATTTCAGATAAGTCTGTTTTACAAGCGTTTAATGGATTTGGATCTGAAGATGAGTTTGAAGATTGAGAAAAATGAGATTTCTTTTAGAGATCTGTGAAAATTTGAGATGGAAAACACTAAAGATTTGAGAAAAAATGAAAAAATATTTTAAAAAGTAATATAAAAAGAGACATGAACAATAAAATTGAAACACCAGATTTGAAAACTTGGGGAAAAGAGATGATACTTACTCTAGAAGAAATTTGGACGATGGAGGAGAAACGAATAAACAAAAACATCGATTGTAAATTCTGTAAAGACATAAAAGGGTGTTATAATTTTAAAAGACGCCAAAGACTGTTTTAGATGTAAAAACTCAACACATGTGAGTTTATGTAAAGACTGTTATGGATGTGTAAACTGTTATGAGTGTACAGACTGTATCGATTCTTTTAACTGTTGTTTTTGTGACAGTTGCCATGACTGTGAGGATTGTGTACACTGTATTAAGTGTAAAGACTGCTCTTTCTGTTATTGTTGTATAAACTGCAGAGGTCTTTATCGAGAACAGTTTATTTCGTTTTTAGGTAAAGGAAAAGGCGGTACATACAAGAAACTCAATAAAATCACAAACGACAAGTTTAAACAAATAACAAACTTGGAAAAGAACCTAGCTAAAAAAGGTCTAATGATTGACAGGACTATAGAAGTGATAAGGCTTAGGGGTGAAATAATTGAAAGAGAGGTTTAACCGGCAAGAAATATTAAAGACCCAAAGACACCTGCCAACACGACGTATTTGAAATGGATGACAGTTATGTTTGTCGAATTTGCGGTCGATTTTTCGGTTGGTTTCCTTCATATGCACCAGAAAACGTGGGAGGTTAGTACTATCAGCGTTATAGGTGGAAAAAAAAAACCACCACGAAAATCAGAGAAGATTTTGAAAGAGTTAAACATTGAATTCCCTAGTGAACAATCGGGTCGCATAGAATACGTGTTAAATCGAGTTTTAGATGGCAAGATATCTAGAGGTTAACCATTGAAGGCTTTAATCGCGGTATGTTATCAAGAGGCAACCGGGAAGGACGATTTAAAAGTAAAAGATTTGTTTCAAGTTTCGGATAAGCATTGGAAAAACGCCCTCGACAAATTGAACCTCGCCAAACGAGATTTCCAAAAACATATAGATTGATAAACAAGATTTTTTCAAAACGTATATAACAAAAAGGAGACTCACACGTTTTACTTAACCGAAAGTGAGTAGACGTTTAAATTGAAAGATGTCATTAAAAACACCAAAGGTGATAAAGTCGTCAGAGTAAGGAATATTCAGTTTGACGCTGGATATTTTAACATAACAAACGCTACTGAAATTGAGTGGGGTACAAACTTGGACGCTAGGCCCGCGGGGGTCCGTGGTGAACGACCGCCTGGAATACCTTCAGAGGAAGGAAGGGAAGTATCTCCCAATTCAGAATTAATACAAACAGCTAAAACCAGATTGATCCAAGCAAATAAAAGAGGCACTTTAGCAGGAGAAATCAGAATCATCGCTGAGGAGATTGAGCAGCTAAACCAAGAAATCGCAACTTTAGAAGAGCAGTTAACCCAAAAACAACCATTAGAAACGCGGGCTCGTTTAGCTTATAGATATCAACGATAAAAAAGTCAAATCAGTTTAATTGCTCGAGGGGCAGAGACAAGCCTTAGATGAAATTTATGAAGGGAATCCCTCAACTCTACCTACAACAAACTCCCCCGTATAACCAACGAGACCCAGGAGAGAATTAAATAAAAGCCTTTTTTTGATGGGGCTAACAGAACCTATATACGATACACTTCATTCTCGGAGCGCATCTCAACCATTACCCGAGGGCCAAAGAGGAAGCATCGTGGTGTCTCCCGGTTATTATCACATGGACTGGTTTGACTTTGACCCAGGCGTTTCTTTTAAGGTTCACTCAGAATCTAAAAGGGTGACTTTGGCCATTACGGACCCCAATCTCAAGTTGCGACTAAATAAAGAAGTGTCTGAGTTATTGAACTTACCCAAAATAACACTTTTACACAACGTTATTTATGAAGGCATTTAAACCCCTTGAAACTCGCGTTTATTCATTGCAAACAATTAAATACATTTGTCAACTTTTATAATGGACAGTCTTTAGACATGCTAGATGTGATAGCTACCGAGCCTTGCACCTCAACACCCATGACGTGCAAAACGCCTAAAAAGTTAATAGACAGAAACAGCAGTGAATTGACTTTTTCTGTTAAAAACGATCGAGGTGAGCTCTTGAATAATATCGGCAAAATTCTTATTGAGTTAGACATTTTTTTAAAACGCGTATATAATAAAAAGATGACGACTTACATTTACCCAGATTTGACTTTAAACTCGGCCGAACAAGCGGAGACTAAAATTGACCGCCTTCGAAAGTTCGAAGAAATCAAACCCCAGTTCAAAGAGAACATGACGCGCGGGAAACAAGCTACAAAAAGATCAAACGTATACTCACTGCACTCGGTTAGGCTACCGTGGAGTACGGAGTAGAAGTACGTACTGGGCGCGACCTCGGCAGCTAGTCCATAAAACCAAAAAGCACGATCAAATCCGCGTACTTGCCGATGCAAAGCTAAATATAATCGAGGAATATGTTTCTCATGCAATTGAAGACGGTGACATAGCGCAAGAGGAATTTGTACTGATTTTATCTGAACTGAAAAAGTTTAACGAAATAAAAGAAAAAATCAGATCAATTACGTCTACAAAATTACAAGAAAGTAAATCGACGAGCAAAGAGGAATTTGAACGACAAGTAAACGAGATAGCGGAAGCGCTAGCGACCGTTTTAAAAAAGTTTTTATGAGAAAACGTGGCGAGTAAGTTTAACCAAGTTGGTTAAATACGAAGATAAACCACCCGCTTATCAAGAAGCGAGCAAAGCGAGCCCAACCTCCTTTTTAAAAATAAACGCGCATGAAATAAATGGGAGCCAACTTTAGTCATTTATCAATCGTAGTCAACAAAGACAACTCGTTTTTAGCCGAGTTTCCCAAATAACGCACGCGTATAAATTACCGAAAGTCACCACGGCAAAGCCATTAATCGCTGGGTAACCGAGCCAATTTCGTTCTACCAAAATCAATTTAATTTCGCAGTCTATTGCGCAACGACGGCTTGCGGGGTAAGTTTTGATTTGCTGTCTGAAACCAATCCATGCGTATCGGCTTTATTTAATTTTCACGTATATTATACCGTACGAACAATATTTTATGACTGCGTAATGCCCATTCTGAGCGACGACGTATTTGACGCGTTACACAATAATTACGATCATCGGAAGTTTACAGACACGTGTCGTCTATTTAACGTCGATTTAAACAAGTCGTTTAAACAAACTGGTGACACTTTGTCAAACGGAATAGGAACTGCTTATTATTATGACAACGGTTACGTACCTGTCCTAATAAAAATCATGATGCGCACGACTTACACGTCACCAACGACAAATACGCGGGGTCTACTTTTATGGGCTTTGGCTAGGGTGATCCACCTAAAGGCTCGGGTCACGCGAGTACTTACACGGTCACTTGGATTTCACAGTCAGACGGGGACACTTTGGCCGGGTGGGATTTTATTCCTAAAAAGAGTAGCTTGACGGATGTGGGAATCACCAAGGTAAACGAATCCATTAGGGCTTACGTATACGCGTTACTCGGTGCACAAGCACAAACAAAGACTGGCGTTTTGGCCACTGGCACCGGGTCAGACGCGCAACGGCAATTTATTACGATCGTGGAATCTTTAATTAATTCAGCCCCCGATCTCGAACAGTCGATTGACCAATTTCAAGATTCGTTGCAATATGCAAAAACGCCTTTAATCTTTGTTGTTGCCCCGGGTTTATATCTGGTGCCTTCAGATATGGACTCACGCATCGGCACTTTTGAAGGTTACAATAATAATTTACAAATCGCGACTGAGGATATGACGACAGGTTACATACCGAGTTTAAATTTGGGACCAGAGGTTGAAGATGATTTTGCGGAGACAGAACCACCCCAAAGCCTTTACCGAAGACACCACCCCCAAGTCCTTTACCTGTAGAACCAACCCCAAGTCCTTTACCTCTAAAACCAACCCCCGAGAAAAAACCTTTGGACGTACACAACGAAGAAAAAATGGCTCTGACCGTAGGAGTTATTGCTATACGTGTTATTGGTGTTATGTTGTTTAATGTTTTGAATTAAACGGTTTGATTGAAGGCGTAAAAAAATCCTTTCCCAAATCTGAGAAGGGGTTTAATTTTTTTGCCTATGTTTAATTTGTTGTGAACTACTTTACCTACTTTCAGTGTTGTAGTATTCGTACTCGGTACTCGTACTCGAGTCCTGTTTTCAGAGTACTTGTACTCGTACTTGTACTCGGTGTCCAAGTACTCGTACTCGTATGTCCAAGTACTCGTACACGAACTACAGTTCTTGTACTCGGGCTACAAAATACTTGGAACTCGACATCCAAAAATTGTACTCGAGCATCAAAGTACTCATACTTGATTAACAGTACTCGATAAAAATCCTTTAAGTTAACTCACCACGCACGGCCGTTAAAATAAGGTACAAAAAATATCGACTCCAGTGACCCGATATTCGATACAGTTCTGACAACGAGACGGCCGAAAGTGGGACCATTAAGGTGTCTGAGCGCCGAAGTATTTGTTGACTTTGTTCCAATTTTGGTACTCAAATAGCCCTTGCGAGTATAACTGGTTCGACCGTGACGATCCGTTTAACTGATATACGGGTTGTAAAATCTCTGCGGGTTCTTTACGTTTGGATCTTTAAACAAAATCAAGCAGCCTTTTAGACTCTTAATCGTTTGATCGATGCTGATGTTCCACAACATGTCTGACTTGTTTACTGCTTGTTTTTTCCACGAGTGAATCCGGTCGAATAGGTAATAGACGACACCCTTGTGCTTGCTCCTCAAAGCTTGGGCCAGGTCTCGATTAGTTACCACTTCGTATTCTAAAGTCAAATCCGAAATTGCATATTCTGCGGCTGTGTCTGTCGAGTTAACCAATTTGTCGTGAACGTTAAAAGTCAATTGATACGTCAAAGGCTCTTTAAACCCCGGCAGATAGAAAGGGTCGTGGTCCGTTAACATCGGCGTGTCTAACGAAATTGCATATCCATTTTTGAACGCGTCTGCAATTGTTTTATCTTTACCGTTGTTTGCAGCTTCGTTTTTGTCGCCCGCACCTAAACACAACTGGCCACGTTTTCCCTTCCAAACCAAAGTACACCATGTTTTTCGTCTGTGAAATTGGTGGCTAGTTGTCTTTAAAATTGTGAAACATACTCGCGTCCCTGTAACTGATGATTTTATTGCCCTGTAAGCTGACGTTGATTTATGAAACCAAGTTTCTCGCCACGTTGTTACACACGTTCCGGTTATCGTCTGATGCTCCGTCAAGATCGAGTTTAAATGCCAACTTTGCGGTACCGGGTACTATTACGTCGTCAATGCCTAAAGCGGGGAATTTTACGTTTAACGTGTGGTCCGCAGCTATGATACTCGGATTATGGGTGATGGTTACTTCACGTCTTTCGCCTTTGATCGTGCGAGGTACTTTGAGCCTGCGACTCGGATTTAGTTTTTGGTGTATTGTTGGGACATATTTTTAGTATATACGATTTTTATTTTACTGGAAAACCTTAAAGAGAAAGAAAATGCTATTAACGTTAACGCCGCCGCAAAAAAGTTCTCTTTGATCTGCATTGGTTGACTTCGCTTTGTAAACGTTTCGGAGTGGATTTCTAAAAGCACGTCGGTGCAATGATCTACGTCTGCACGCATGTCACCCAGCATTTGTTTATCCATTCTTTTAAAATAAAGTAAATTTAACTGTACTGATAAACCAAAACACCGACTAAAGCAGTTCTACCTAAAATCCATATAGGTTCGCGAGTTATTTGATCTTCAGACGGCATGTAGAAATCGGATAACTTGGGTTCGGGTGGTAAACTTCGCCACATGTTTTTACCCGTCAACTCCGAGTACGCCCGTAAAGCTTCGTCAACGCTTACAAAGGTCTGCTGACTCGCACGCTCTTGTCTCATTCGCTCGTTCAGAAAGTCTCGCATGTGTACACAATTTTGTTCCCACTCCTGTTTTGCTTGCGCCAGTTGTTCTAACGCGAGGTCGTGACGTTTATGTTCTTCGTCTACTTTATTTCAGCTAGACTACTAAACAAAAAAATTAAACCCGTGAATGCCAGGGCGTTTACTATCGCTCCTCCTACCATCATTAAAGCGCTTGCCATTTTATTTTATATTATTTTAAATGAAGCAAGAATTTTCAAAATTATTTTACAGCCCTCCTCAGCGATCCTGGCAAAAAAAAGCCATTTGGCAAATTTATTTACCCGCACCTACATACGTGCCGAGACCTACAATGTTGCAAACCGAGTTTGTCGAACCAAACGAAGCGCATCAATTAGATATTTTATACTTGCCCTGGGATCGAGTAAATCGTAGGACTTTTAAATACGCTTTAACCATAGTAGACGTCAATTCGCGACATAAAGAAGCAGGACCGTTGACCAATAAAACCGCCGATCAAGCATTAGAAGTCGTGAAGAAAATTTACGATCGATCGCCATTGACTTGGCCTACAATTATAATGGTAGACTCGGGATCGGAATTTAAAGGTGAGTTTAAAAAGTTAATTATTAAACATGGGGTAGAAATTCAAACAGGTGAACCGGGCGTACATCGGTCGCAGGGGATCGTGGAAAGGTTTAACCGTACATTAGCTGAAAGGTTATTTGGTCATCAATACGCGCAGAAATGTTAAACGTAGGCGTTCGTAACGTAGAATGGGTACAGCGTTTGCCACAAGTAATAAAATCGCTAAACGAGGAAAAGACCAGACTAATTGATGCTTGTTCTTATAGTTTTCAAATTGTAAAATGTTTTTACCTTAGGTGGGTAATTCGACTTTACAGGGAACTGCGTCTAACCCTTGGCAATCTTCTTTGTGCCCGCTTAACTTCTCTTCTATTTGAAAGTGCGACATGCAATTAATTACAGTACCAGTATTTTTTATGCTCGTGTTTATTAATATCGCCCGTCAACCGAAAAAAAGTTTTTAATCCAGCTGTAGTGACTCTTTTCACCTTGGGTAAAATAAAGTAAATTGATAGGTTTGCCCATGCGCTTAGTTTTGTAAAGAATGTAAACGCCGTCTTTTTGTCGTTAAAAACACATTGATTGCTAAGTTGTTCTGTGATTCGATGCGTGAGATTTGTGAAATGGGTGTTTGTAAAATTTAGGCCGTCTGCGTCTGTGTAAGTCGAGGTGCGCTTGTCGTGTATATAATATTTTGGATTAACTTTCAATTGACTTTTGACGTAGTCTGAATATAATTTTAAAAATCGATTTCCCCGCTTTTGTTCCTATGGTGCGTTGACTCCTGAAATCACTATTATAGAGCGAGTTCGATTTTTGCTTTTTAGCATTTCACACTTTCTAAATAGGTTCCGGCACTCTTTTATATATATCTGGCATTAAATTCCATGCTTCTTTAGAAATCACCGAGTTCATGTGCCTCCAACTTCCTTAATAGAAGAGAAATTGACAGTATACAAATTGCAAATCTGTTCGCGAAGGCATTTTGGGGCCATCATTGTCTGTACTACTATAGCGCCCTCATCCATTTTGCATGAAGGTTTTGTGTTTTTTCATACACATTCCGTGTGTGTTTCCTGTTGGTAAAAAAAGTCTCAGTTGTTCACGTTGTTTCATAGCTAAGATAAATTCCAGCGAAGGATTTATTTAAACATTGCTTTTTTCTGTAATTTGTTTGTGGACCCTTTTGGGCTCTTTCTGCTATGCCGTGATCGGCCTCCGTAAAATTTCTAGCCGGTTACGTGAAGGGTTGCTTGCAGTTGTAAAAATAGCGTCCAGCGGAAAATAAGAGGGCCAGCCGAAAATCCGGCCCGAATTTCGTGCCAATTTCAGCTTGGTCAGTTTGACTGGTCTGTGGCTGTGCTA